AACTATGACTTTGCCCTAAACTGTTTTACTATGTGAAATATACTCTACACATTATTCGGGGATTTTGGTTGGATCCTTTTGCTTTTTCATTGTACATTATATAATTTTATATACAATTTTTGGTATTTTTCTATTAACTTATGGCAATTTCATTAACAGAACTTACCACTATAAAAAAACTAATTACTATTCTTAGGTATTACACAATAATTAGATGTTTGTGCTATTGCAAAAAAATATAAGTATATTATATCTATACAAATAAATAAAATTGAAGTCTGTTTGTAATGTCAAAATTACAGCTTTTTACTAAATGCATATGAAAGTATATACGGTAATAATAACAAAAATACAATTTTCAAAGTTTTTGTCTGTCTGTCTGTCTGTCTGTCCGTCTGTCTGCCTGTTTGTTCCGGCTAATCTCCGAAACGGCTGGACCGATTATGATGGGATTTTCACTGGCAGATAGCTGATGTCACAAGGAGTAACTTAGGCTACTTTTATTTTAGAAAAATAATTAGGGTTCCACGCAAAAAAATTAAAACTCCAAACAACACACGGGCGAAGTCGCGGGGAACAGCTAGTATTAAATATAACTGTTTTGATTATTGTGATTTAGATAAACTTTTGTGCTTGTTTCACAATATTTATTTTAAATTATTACAATACAAGCGCATATCCAAGTCACGAAAATGAAGCTGGAGTTTCACCAAGTGACAAAAATCGCAAGTATGAATTATATAATTGTTTTCCTTATGTAAAATATATATCTTCTTAATAACATACATAATCAAAATAATTAGAAATTCAATGTCGGTAATTCAAGAATCACTGAAAGTTTTAGAATCTGATGTAACCACATTTTTATTGTATTACTTTTTGGAATATGGGTGACGAATAGGCACACAGTCCACCTGATAGTAAGTGAATGGTGAGGTCCAAAGGCATCTACATCAATCTTGAATCAAAATGCAGACACAATATCACCTCTGAGAATGAAGAATGCCTCGTTTCCAGTAAAAAGGATCTCCGGTTCTCTACACTCGCCATATGAAACACAGCAGTGTTAAGCTGCTATTTTACGCTGGTACTCTGTGAGAGCGTGGTCCTTCCCCGGTCGAGCCGACCTAGTCGTGCTACAATCATAATATAGTTGTGTGGACTGTGTGCTTGTTTGTCACCCTTATTCTATAAAAAAACACTAATTAATTTTGTACATACATAACAAAATTAAACTGAATAATGCTACTTATAATACACAGTCCATCCGCCTATTACGACCTATAAAAGTCCACTGTTGAACATATGAGCATAGACCTCCCCCATAGATTGCGTAATAGGCCTAACATCTGTCACAGTTGCCAATCGACAGGCGGGTCCGCAACCACACTTTTTAATTTTTTTGGTTATTATCAGGAATAGAAAGATACTTCTGCTCGCCTCTTGTTTCAGTACAGTAATATATAGTACCATATTGCACATCATACAGTACCCTCAGAAATAAAAGGAGGTAATACCTAGCAGTGGGACTAGGCTGTATCTTATACTACTTTTGTACTGTATAGAGCACTGTGCTCCTTGTACCAACATACCAATATATAATATTATTACGTAAACAAAACTAAAAACTCTTTTAAATATGGCAATCTCAACTCAATACTTACTTCTTTGTTTAAAAAATCTCTTTCTAGTTCCTTATTATTTTTAAAGAACATTTTAAATGTTTACATTTTGCTTAAATCAAAACAAAAAAAAATAAAGTATCTACTTTGGTATTTTAATAATTTCAATTAAATAAATTAAAAAAAAAACCTTAAAGAATTAAATATAAAGTGAGATATTTTAATAACATCAAACTAATATATTTGGATAAAAAAAATCATGGAAGAACACAAAAATATTATACCTAAATTAACAACATCTGTTTGTGTGAACTTAAAAATTTGTAAGTTTTTTTGTTGACCGTACCGTTTGAGTTTTAAATGATTCTAAAATCCAAGACAATTCATACAGGCCTTATTTTATATAATATCACGAATTATTACTTCAGTTCAGTTGGGTGGCTGTTGCCATCATGAATGAATTATTTATCTGAATATAGATAAAATTTTCCACACTTTGTGGCGTCTTAAAACCGCGTCGATTTTATATTTTAATTTAATAACATTTTTAGTACTTAAAAATACACAAAAGAGATGTTTATTTGACTAATAAAACTATGATGTCACACTTTATTCTTCAATTTCTATAGAAAAAAATTGTTTTCGCGAATTCAACGAGGACTAATAATCTTCGGCTCAATAGATGTCGTTAGTAGCGACCGATGTAAATTTATTTTCTCATTAAAAAGTTGAATTTCAAATAAGTTTTTCGGTTTCTAATAAAGGTATGTACACTAAACAATGCCTCTGTGGTTCGCTATTTAATATTTTGCACATTTTTTTAAAATACTTTTGAATTATTTTACTTTTAGAAATACCCGCAGTTTGCAGTTTTTCTAATCTAATTAAATATAAATAATAATCCAAAAAAGAAACATTAACCCTAACAAATTAACTTCAACCGCTATCCTGTTAATTACAAAGTGGCGTCGCCCTGGAGGCAGAAAAAGTTGCGAAATTAACGAATGACAACAAATACATGTTATACTATGACATGTAAAGTTAATATTTATAAATTAGTAATGTTAGTAACTACCACTGGACTGGTAAATGTCCAACAGTGGACTTTTACAGGCTGGTTAAGCTGTATAAACTTGTAAAGCATAAGCAATTAGTGCTGCCCCATTGCCAAAGTACGTTCGGAAAACCGTTAAAAATAAAAATATACCCGATCAAAAATATACGCTTTAATACTTTAGAATTAATTTCGTGGTAAAGCCAATTTATTGAAAACTATTTCTAATATTTATTTATCCACAGGTATAGCCATAATTAAAAAATAAGCAAGTGACCATCATTATTAGCTGATATTACCTTAACAGTCTGTCAAAATTCCACTGCTGAACAAAGCCCCCCATAGGTTGCATATGGGGGATATTTGCCATAGTTGCCACGTATACGACACTGCTGCCATCTCCTGGTTTGTTTCTCTCTGTCGCCTCAAACGACGACACGTAATAAATATTCCTAAACTGCTTAAAGAACATCCGTCTAATTTAGTAACCAACAACATCCATCATATAATATACTTACAACATTACTTAATTATATTTGGAACTCAGTATTACGAAATAATAATTATAAATATAATCTATTTTAAAACCATATAATATGTAAGAATATCCACTACCCCATATCGTCCGTGGGTGTCTTAAGAAGTAACATAAGGAAACGTACCCAGGAGATTATAGGTATATATCAGATAGGTAGCAACGCCTGCCTAATACCAACCGGAAAATAAAAAAACTTCGGTTGCCAACCTGCCTGCCAAGTGTGGCAACTATGGCAAATTGAAGCACTTATGGGGAGGCCTATGTTCAGCGGAGGATTTTGATAAGCTGTAATCATTGAATAAATATGAAAACATGCTTAAGAGCATATTATAGGGCCAGCATCCAGATCCGTCATCAGATCAGTTCCATGGTACCATATTATTGCACTGTCATCGAACTATCTTAATATACCAAATTTCAACTCAATCGGATATCAGCGAGTGCTATAAAAAATTGTTTACAAATTTTGAACCGAAAAGACATACGAAGAAATCAAGTTAAATAGTGTCCAAATTCCTAATTGCTGCTCAATTTTAAAATATCGTTAAGTCTCATGCTGTCTCTATCAGTTTAAGTCAAAGTAACTGTGACACCACGAGACTTACGAAATTTTAAAAATGAGTAGCGTTTGATTATTTGGCCTCAAGCAAAGACTTATGTATATACTCCCAGATAGGTAAAACGGTACTAGTACATTGCACACTAAGTTACGGTCATTTCTCCGTAACTTCTTTAGTCGACTGCGAGCGAGCGAGAAGACTAGTTCTTGTTTTGTAAATCGCGAACGTCGTTTTCGACAATCCAACACTGATTTTGTTTATGACTAAGAAAACGCTGTCACAATTTATGTGCGCACTTTGCCAACGTGATTTAAAGTTAATTTTAGATAAGTACATATGTAACTTTATTTCGCGTTTGCCTAAAACCGTGACTGTAGTAAATGAAAATACAATAGCGTGGGGCATATTTACCGTGCTATTTGTGTAGCTAACCGCCTGCGCGAACCACAACTGTACTATGCGATTCAAATAAGATTAGGCCTGACCTGCCACCGTATTGTGACGTCATAGCTGTCAGTTCAAACCAGTGAGGTAGGGTGAGCAAAACAGATATTTTTGTAATAATATCTATTTACAAAATAATCATGAACGGAAGGTATTAATCCGAATCTAGCATTTCAATTTCGCTCATCTCTACATCACTGTCTGAGTAGTCATCATTATCATCATTATCATCACTGCTACTTTCCTTATAAAAATAAAACGTGGATTTATGTAGGTATTTAAACTATCCCATAGACTAGTATCAAATTTAGAAAAATAATTAAGACTGCAATAATTTAGTTAATACTCAGACAGTTAAAGAAAATGAAAAAAAATAACATTAGTAATACGCAAATTTATTTTCTTTGCTAGCCGTACTTTTGAAGTGACAGTTGACAAATTGCGGTCGTTCGAGGTCATTGACGTTCCTGATCTTTTTTGAATCGCATTGTAACACAATTTTGTTCTGAATTGTGGGTTCAGTAGAACGTATAAAGTATGCATAGAAGTCTACGTAATTATTTGTGATTGTTTCATGTTTACGATATCTCAAGTCAAACATAAATCTAAATAAAATAATACAGTAATTTACATAACGTTCCAACGTATACAGAGAACTGGATCGGTATATCCGACAGGGCACATCACTATACAGCACTGCTATGTACATATTATAGCATTTTGAGTCGTTGAACATGTTTGGACAAGTTTGAAGTGATTTTGGCCATGTTGATACAAGGCCATCAGTCGTTGCAATAGCAGTACATGTTGAGATGTGGATGCGTATCACTGATACAACTCGGTTCGTTGTTATACCTGCGAAAACCATTTAATTAAAAGTTCATATGAAACATGTAACAAAAAGCCTGTGGTTCCTGTTAAGTGCAATATCAGAATCAGTATTGAAACTTAAAGAAATAACTTTACTTCAGAAAACTTCATAATATGAAAATTAAATAAAAATAAAATAAATTTTTATTAGCAAATTGTATGTGGTTTTCAACAGACTTCAAAAAAGGAGGAGGTTCTCAATTCGAAAGATTTTTTTTTGTGTGTTACCTTAGAATTTTTTTAGGTGAACCGATTTTGATGAGCATCATCAATGTAATAGAAGTCAATTAAATGCGCATTATTAAGGACAACTCAAAAACTACTGTTAAGATCTTGATCAAATTTATATGGAAACATCAAAATCGGTTTTTCAAATCTGGTTTTTTACGTGGTAGATCCATGCTGCAACTATATTAGTAGTAGGTATAGTTGTAGCATGAAATGGTCTGCTCGAACGGGGAAGGACCACGCTCTCGCAGAATGCCAGCGTAAAATAGCAGCTTAAAATTGCTGCGTTTCGTATGGTGAGTGTAGAGAACCGGAGACTCTTTTTACTGGAAACGAAGCATCACATCTTAGTCCTCACGGGTGACAACGCATCTGCATTTTGATTCGTAATTGAGAATAGATGTAGATGTCTATGGGCCGCAGCAACCACTTACCATCGGGTGGACTGTGTGCTCGTTTATCACCCTATCCTATAAAAAAACTTAGTAAAAGTTCTGAGGTAACACACATAAAAAATACAATCGAATTGAGAACCTCTTCCTTTTTTGAAGTCGGTTGAAAACCATCTACCTAGACCATATTAGGTGGTAAGACACTTTCACTGACTCACGCACTCACTCACACATATACGCGTATAAAACCACAAATAACTCACGCGTTCGTTCTCGAGATATCGCGACTGTTGATCTCGAATCTGTCCTCCTTCACTATGTAAACCATGGACGCCTCGTAAACGCCTCTACCCGGCGCTACGATTATCTGAAAACATGTAAATTATTTTTAAATACTCGTAACGTTAGAGTTCAAAAACTTAAATTACTCGCATAAGTCATGAGCTGTGATGATCTGTGAAGATTTGTACCGTTAGTCGAAGTGTAGAGCGGCTCCGCGCTAGATGGAGTGACGAGCTGGTAAGAGATACAGGAAGTCAATGGATCCAGTTGGCTCAGGACCGTGCTTTGTGGCATTCCTTGGGCCTATGTTCAGCAGTGGACTTGTGAAGGGCTGTAATGATGCTGATTTTTTTATAGAATAAGTGTGACAAACGAGCACACTGTCCACCTGATGGTAAGTGGATGATGTTACCCATAGACATCCACACTTATCCTCAATTAAGAATCAAATTGCAGAAGCGTTGTCACCCTGAGGACTAAGATGGAATGCCTCGTTTCCAGTAATAAGGGTCTCCGTTTCTCTTCACTCACCATACGAAACTCAGCAGCATTGAGCTGCTATTATAAATAAAAATGTTTTTTTATGTAAATTTAAATGCCAGTGACGTCATTATATCGCTATAGTAACGCCACCGCATGGTGAAATGATAAAAACACTCATTTTAACTTGTCAAAATTAAAAAAAATTGTCATTGCTTACTACATATTATACACGTTTTGAAATTATTTAATTGACGAAAAAAAATTATTATTTAGTTGACACATGGTGATCTGAATATAGAAAATTCAAAAGTATAGCATGATTGCAATTGGCTCACAGCCTCAACTGATATAATGACGTCACAACCAATCACAAGTCGTTTATTTCATTCAAAAATTTAACTATTATTTTTAAATTATTACTAAAAAAGCGAATGGTTTATAAAAAAATTATGTTTAAATATATTTTTAATTAATTAATGCCAATGAGTCAGTCTAAACATAATCATTATTTAAAAAGATCATTATTTAGATACCTTTGCTTGGTAGTTCTCTGTGTTGGGGGTGACTCGTGCACCGAACTGTCCCACGTAGCCGTCAGCATCCTTAGCCGCTACGAAAGATAACATCCGACTATTTGCCCGTTGTCGCATCACCCACTCCACTCCGCTCAGTTTACGAATAGCGCATTTATGTCTGGGAATAGTATTGTAGTTTAAAATAATAAAACCTTCAATTATTAAAAGCTATTATGTATGGGAAATCACAGCATCCACTTACAGAAAACGAGTGACAAACGAGTCACACAGTCCACCTGATGGACTGTGTGCTCGTTGTCACCCGTATTCTATATAAAACTAAAAAAATACTTAAATTATTATATTATGTTCGATCGGGTGAGCCGCATGTCCAATGAAGTAGGATAAAATTGTCCCTTTCAAATGTCAAAAAAGCATAATTTTTTATCTTTCATTTGGCTCCATGCTACGGACGAGAGATATATGCACGAAGCAAATACAAAGAGGAGATGGCATAAGCAACTGTGCACTGTGATACTAACTAGGTCCTGACGTCATCGCGGTGGGCGTGGCTTTACTTAGTATACTGTCAGCGTTCGTCCTGTGCGCTTGTGTGTTGAAAATCGCAAATCGGTGTATTTTCGTAGTATTAAGAAGAAAAGGATGAAGTGTTGTGTTTCATCGTGTAAAAACTACTCAGATAGAAGCTGATGAGTCGAGGAATACTCATCCCAATTTACTTGTCCGGTAGTTGTGGTATGGTATACGGGTATGCGACCCCGGCTTCCCTAGCTATTACTGTCCTATCCCGTGCCCTCCGGGACGGTAATATCCTACATTTCCTATTTCCTACCCAAACTTACCTTACTCTTCCTTTTCACACCACCTATCCTTCCTCTGTTCCTATTCCTATCCTCCGCCAATCCAACGTCTGCCGCGCGGATGGATGCATGGCTAGGGGCGAGCCTAGTCGTTAGCGTGCCACACTGTCCTGGGACCGGGCGACCCCAGAATTAGGCTAGCCTTACCCTGGCATGCGGGGCTCTGCTGGGGGGACAAACCTTTCCCTCGCTATTCGTGGGAACGCAATGGATAATCATAAAAATAATTTAACTAACCAAAATGGCGGCGATGTGGTTCGCCACCCATCACGTCCCGATTCTCGCGGGGGCGAAAAGCGGCCCACGGAGAGCCGCTTCGCTACGTTGAATGTAAGAGGAGGAATGGATAGTAAGGTAGATGAAGTATGTCAGATGATGGATGAACGTTGCATTGATATTCTGTGCGTGAACGAAACCAAGAGGAAAGGATGTGACACCACGGTTCATGGCCCCTACACGGCATACTGGTCGGGAGTCCCCCAAACCAGCCGAGGCTGTCAGGGAGTTGGTGTGATTCTTTCATCTCGAATGGTTGAATGTGTGATGGAGCATGAATGTGTAAGCCCAAGACTCCTCTGGATTAGGTTAAAAGTCGGACTCACTCGCTTGTTTATCCTTGGGGTCTATGCACCGACGGATCTGCGTGGAGGTGGGTCATTAAAATCACAACAAGAGAGAGAGGAATTTTGGGATAGCATGAGAGAGGTCTTGAATAAATGCGGAGAAAATGAACGGATCGTGATGTTAGGGGACTTTAATGGATGGGTTGGAGTAAAGCGTGATGGGTATGAAGGAGTTCTGGGTACGTTTGGGGACGAGAGAGTGAATGACAATGGGAGAAGCCTGCTTGAAGTATGCTTGGAATGGAATCTGTGCGTGGCCAACACAATGTTTGACCACAAAAAGATCCATTTGTATACAAGAGATGAGGATGAGTCTAGAAGTATGATTGATTTTGTAATTGTGGATGAAAGACTGAGGAAGAAAGTGCTAGACACTCGGGCATACCGCGGTGTAGGCCTCGACACAGACCACTTCCTGGTCATAGCCCGAATGCGTGGCCTCTTTAAACGGTGGCGACACCGAGTGGCCGAGCCTACGAGTGTGTTGGACAGAGTAAAAGTGGAAAATATACAAGAAAAAGAAAAGAAAGACGAGTATGTAGAGAAACTGAAAGAAAGTTTTAAAGGGATAGAAGAGACAGGAGTGATTGAAGATTTGTGGGAGAGATTTAAGAAAGGGGTCGTAAATGTTGCTATTGAGGTATGCGGGGTAGCTAAAAGAAGGAAAGGAAGAAAGAATGATAACGTGTGGATGGATAAAGATGTACAAAAGATTGTGCAAGAAAAGAAGAAAGCGTGGATTGGTTAACAACGAAAGCTAACCAAAAAGTTCAAAAGGCAACGGATGACGAGATAAAGGAAGCAAGAACGAAGTATAAAAGATTGAAAATAGCAGCGAAAGAAATTGTGTCTAGAAAGAAAGAAGAACGAAAGGATGATTTCGATAGGAGGCTCACTGAAGATTTTCCGGTCAAACATTAAGTTTTTCTGGAAAACCATCAAAACAGCCAGAGGAAAAACTTCTACCTCGGAGCTGAGTACAATCAGGAGTCAAGATGGGAGCATTATAAAAGGAGAAGAATGTGTGTTAAAGAGATGGAAAGAGTATTTTGAAAGTTTGTTTGAAAGAGAGGAAGTGCAGGTACAGCATCTGCCACCTTCCACGGAAACTAATATAAATGTTGATGAAAATGAGATAAGCATGGATGAAATAGTGAAAGCGTTGAAAAGTATGAGATTAGGTAAGGCTGCAGGGTATGACAGGATTACCGTCGAGATGCTGAGGGCTGGACAGGGCCTGGTGGCTAGTCAGCTGTACCGCCTTTTCAATCTGTGCTGGCGAAATGGGCAAGTACCGGGAGACTGGTGCAAAGCCGTAATCGTGCCATTGTATAAGGGAAAAGGGTCACGGCAGGACTGCATAAATTACCGCGGTATAAGCCTTCTCAGCGTCGTCGGTAAATTGAATGCGAAAGTGTTGATTGAAAGGGTTGTGAATAAAACAGACAAGAAAGTATGGGATGCACAAGCGGGATTTAGAAAGGGAATGGGATGTACGGATCAGGTCTTTTCCTTGCGGTGCATAGCCGAAAAGTATTTGGCTAAAAACAAGAAAGTCTACTGCGCGTTCGTAGATCTAGAAAAGGCCTATGATAGAGTGGTGAGGAATGAATTGTGGTCAGCACTGTCCGTGAACAGTGTGAGCAGTATCCTCATACGAGCAATGCAATCTCTTTATAGGGATTCTAGTGCTTGTGTAAGGATAAACGGGGCATACACTGAATGGTTTTATATCGAAAAAGGTGTTAGACAGGGATGTGTAGCGTCACCGTGGCTGTTTAATCTGTTCATGGACATTTGTTTGACAGATTTAAAAGAGAATGAAAGTGGGTTGAGAATGAATGAGTTACTCGTCAAATGTTTTCTCTATGCTGATGACCAAGTATTACTTGCGTCTTCGGCCGAGGAGTTGCAGGAGATGGTAACTGCTATGAGTGGAGCTTTTGTTAGAAAGGGAATGAAGATGAATGTAAGGAAGACGAAAGTGATGGTGTTTGAAAAAGATGAGGCAGTGACAGACTGCAACATTGTGATTGAAGATGAACAAATTGAACAGGTGAAAGAGTTTGTGTATCTGGGTTCAAAGTTTACAAGAGATGGAAAGTGTGAGAGTGATATCGAAAGAAGAGTGAATGCAGGAAACATGGTGAATGGAGCTTTGCACTCTTTTATGAGCAGTCGGAAGGTGTCTAACAAGGCTCGTTTGGCTGTGCATGAGGGGGTGTTGGTTCCGACACTCATGTACGGAAGTGAAACTTGGGTATGGCAGAAGAAACATGAAAGCAGAATAAATGCAGTTGAGATGAGAGCATTAAGAAGTATGATAGGAGTTAAACTGAGTGACAGGCTAAGAAATAGTGAGATAAGGAAACGTTGTGGTCTGGAAGAAGATGTAGTGACAAAAATTGAGAAAGGTATGCTGAGATGGTTTGGCCATGTCGAGAGAATGAATGAAGAACGATTGACGAAAAAAGTGTATAAGGCGAGTGTGAATGAAAGTGTTGGAAGGGGTAGACCTAGGCGGACATTTCTAGACCAAATCAGGGACGTCTTGAAAAAAGGCCAGGTCAAGAGTACCCTAAACCGTAGAGCATGTATGAAGGGAATAATAAAAGTGGACGAAGCAAAACAAGTATGTAAGGATCGTAGCAAGTGGAAAGAACTGGTCTCTGCCTACCCCTACGGGAAAGAGGCGTGATTATATGTATGTATGTATGTATGTAGATAGAAGCTCTGATGCTATGGATGGCATCACATTTCATTTGTAAGTAATTTTATACCTAATTTATTAAAAAGGTTCTAGAAAAATCTCTGCGTCGGCTTTCAAATGTAATTAAATATATTCGACACTAGAATATGGCGACACTTTGTGTCATGCGGGCTAAAAATATAAAGGTACGTAGAGCTCAGTATTGGTAAAATACTCATACAAAGGTGTTGAAATTTGTTTTGCATTCATTACTAAAGAATTTTTGACCGCCAAAATATTATTTTTTTAGTTTTTATAATCATTTTGTGAACAGGCCGCCATCTCTCGTCAAGGTAGCTAGCTAAACTACATTACAACATCGATATGGAACGATGCGAGTAGTTTTATTGTTTATCGGTAGATGGAAAATAGTAAAGTTTATATATATTTATGAATATATATGCTATATATAGCTACCATGACGAGAGATGGCGGCCTGTTCACAAAATGATTATAAAAACTAAAAAAATAATATTTTAGCGGTCAAAAATTCTTTAGTAATGAATGCAAAACAAATTTCAACACCTTTGTATGAGTATTTTACCAATACTGAGCTCTACGTACCTTTATATTTTTAGCCCGCATTATATATATATATATGTGTGTGTGTGTGTGTGTGTGTGTATATGTATATATAGGTATATATTATTTTTATTTTTTATGATATATGATTTATATTTTATGTGTTTTATTTCCATGTATTCCAATTTTTTATTATTATTGTAGTTTAGTATTCGCATATTAACTTTTATTACACCTACTCCATTCTATCTCTGCACCATCCCAAGGTAGACTGGTAGAAAATGCCTTAGGCATTAAGTCCGCCTATATACCACATGTGTATATGAAGTTTAAATAAATAAATAAAGTGGGCGGGGCTTAACATCCCCTCACCCCACAAATTGTCACGCGTTGTTACATAGTGAAATCTAATTGCAACACCTCCCCTTTGTGTTTGCTCCGTAGATATATGTCTCTACTATTTATGTCAAACGGGAATATACTTCTCCACGTTGCCGTGCTTTGGCATAAGAACAAGATAAAGCTGCTATTTTACGCTGGTATTCTGTGAGAGCGTGGTCCTTCCCCGGTCGAACGGACCCATTCGTGCTACAACTATACATTTAATACAGCTGCAGCATGGCTCTACCACGTTTAAAATCACAAAGTGTAACTAACCTCATACTTTCAGTGAGCGAGTTGATATAGTTAACCAAGGCATTTGCAGTTTTCTGGTACAGCTCGTCATCTTGCGATACGTCCCTCCAAGCGAGACAGGCGCACCAATGGGGTTCGATGCCCGCTTCACTGCAAGATCTGTTTTTTGGGATCTGGAAAATTATACATTGATTTGCAAAACATTAAAATATCCAATATTAAATTACCATAATACAATATTGACGGCTCCGTGGCGCAGTGGCTTAGCAATGAGTTGCTGCGCTGGGGGCCGCGGGTTCGAATCCCGCACGGAACAAGTATTTGTATGGCCTACAAATGATTGTTCCGGGTCTGGATGTTTGTCCTTGTGAAATTTGTGTTTGTAAACTGCCTCCACGATACAGGAGAAAATCCTAGTGTGGGGGTAACGTTATTAAAAAAAAAAATAAAAAAAATGTGTGCAGTTCACACGCGGTAAAAGTAAAACATTCAAATGAAATGAAATGTAAAATATAAATTTCACTGCAAATTATTTATTTAATATATTAATTTCTATCACATTAGATACAGATATAGAAGTACTAATTTATTTACGAGAAAATTAAATTTTATAGCAAATAACTGTTACAATCCTTATTGTTAGACATGTAGTGTAGAGCTAAATTAAGTTTAATAAATTTACAGCCTATATACGTCCCACTGCTGGGCACAGGCTTCCCCTCATTTCTGAGAGGTTTTTAGGGCAAGGAAATGTCCGCCACGGTGCCCCAATGTGTATTGGCGAACTTCACATGTCTTCGATTTTTTTTTATTACTCATACATGCAGGTTTCCTCACGATGTTTTCCTTCACCGCCGAACACGTGGTAAATCAGCATAAAATGAAGTATAATATATCAAACATTTTTTTTTTCGAGTAAAATTGCTTTGCAATAGCGCCATCCGCTTCATTCTAAAGGTAAAGTCATTTTATCGATACAAAATTTTATTGATTCTCAAGGTGGTACGTAAAATAGACGCTATGTGGCCTAAACACGACTAATTTAATATGATATTCTATCTCACTCTCTCGCAGGCTAAATCCTATAGATGTTTATGTCCGTCTCTTTTTAATGTCGCTTTTTCGTTTCATCAACTTTAAAATCACAACTATGCTAAAGAAGTTTCCAATTCAAAAATCTAAAACTAAAAGACTTATAATTGCGCCACTTACTGTTGATTCGACGAAACGAGAATAAGTTCTATCTAAACTTATAGCACAAAGAGAAAAAAATTGATTGTTTGTATGTTTGTTTGTAATAAACTCAATATTATAACACCGTTATACGTGGTAGAGCCATGCTGCAGCTATATTGATAGAATAGTTGTAGCACGAATTGGTCGGCTCGACCGGGGAAGGACCACGCTCTCACAGAATACCAGCGTAAAATAGCAGCTTAACATTGCTGTTTCGTGTGGTGAGTGTAGAGAACCGGAGACCCTTTTTACTGGAAAAGAGGCATTCTATCTTAGTCCTCACAGCTGACAACGCATCTGCATTTTAATTCGCAAACGAAGATAGATGTAGATGTCTATGGGCCGCAGCAACCACTTACCATCAGTTGGACTGTGTGCTAGTTTGTCACCCTTATTCTATTAAAAAAAACCGTGTAGTGGCGGAGTAAGTATATCCACTACCCCATATCATCCCATATCACCGTAAGAGGCGACAGAGGGTAATAAATCAGAAGATGCGCAGCAGCGTTTTCCTAATAACGCCTAAAAATGACAAATTGCAGTTGCCAACCCGCTTGCCAAGCGTGGCAACTATGGCAAATATCCCCCCTATGAGACAATGTATAGGCGAGGCCTATGTTCAGCAGTGGACTTTAATAGGCTGTAACGGGATGATATGAGGTAGTGAATATCCTTACACCGCCACTACACGGTTCTCTTTCTTTCTGGTCATGTGCTTTCTTTCTTCCCTCTCTACTATTCTAAATCAATTTTGTGATATAACCCTGAAATTCAGATATATACTAACCGGTTCCAAAAGAGTGAGCCCTCGGGTAAAGTCAGCTCCCGTCACTTTGTACGGATTCCAGTGCTGTCTCAAATCCAGTGCATCCAGGACCGTGGCGTAAATGTCGTGTGGGGTGGTCAGAGAATCCGCGTTGGAGAGCAGAATTTCCTGGATGTTGGGCCGTTCCCGTTTTAAAGACTCAGGGAGAACGATAGCCATTAGAGGCAATCGCTCTTCCAATTTTCCTTGAAGAGTATCCCTAACCTTCGCGTATCTGTGAAGGAAATTAATTCGACGATATACAATCAAAGCTATATAAGCTCAGGGGTTAAGCGCAGGCCGAAAATTTCACAGCATCGGGTTCGATTACCGCCGACACTAATGAAATATTCGCAAAAATTTTAAAAGTAAAATTAAACTTTTTATAATAATAAAAGTAGAGAAAAATGAAAAAATGAAAAATAGCTGACCATGTAGACGTTGTTCTGCCCTCTCCAATGACCCTGTGTCCTATAGAAATTATAAAATTCGTAATAAAAATATTTAGGGTCACTTATAGGGATAAAAATTAACCTATCTCTCAAGTTGGAGCAAACTGCATACAGTGTGCAAAATTTCATTGATCAAAATCAAAATATTATATACTAGCTGGCCAGGCAGACGCTGTTCTGCCCTTTCCGACGACCCTTCTCCTATAAAAAATCCTTAAATTCGCAATAAAAAATATTGAAGGTCACTTATCGGGATAAAAAGTATCCTATCTCTCAAATTGGAGCAAACTGCACACAGTGTGCAAAATTTCATTGAAATCATTTCAGTAGTTTAGGAGTTCATCGCGGACCAACAACGTGACACGTAATTTTTATATATAAAGATATATATATATACCACTTGCTCGAGGGTGAAGGAAAACATCGTGCCTGAGAAATAAGATATCACGAGGATATGTGAAGTCCGTCTACAAATACTAGAATAGTGCAGCGAACTAACCGCTCCATGACTCTCACAGAAATGAGAAAAGTCTGTTCCCAGCAGTGAGACACATATGGGCTAAGCTGTAGCTTTACTAAGTTTTATATTGTATTAGTTTTTATTTTAAAACAAATAGATCGATTTCAATAATAAATTCAATTATGAAACAGACATTTCATAAGTGGTAGAGACACGTTGCGGTTATACTGTGATTGTAGAATACCAGCGTAAAATAGCACCTTAATACTGCTGTGTTTCGTATGGTGAGTGTAGAGAACCGGAGACCCTTTTTACTGGAAACGAGGCATTCCATCTTAGTCCTCACGGGTGACAACGCATCTGCATTTTTTTTCTTAATCGAGGATAGATGTAGATGTCTATGTAATATAGCATCCACTTGCCATCAGGTGGACTGTGTGCTCGCTTATCACCCTTATTCTATATAAAAAAACATCGTTTTACTTTTTTTAACTTTCTTTTGAGCCGAAAAGTCCACAGGGAGGATGAAAAAACTGAATGAATAATGAAAGTATAACCAAGTGCGAGTCGGACTCGCGCAAGAAAGGTTCCGTATCACCGTAAAACACGTTTCCAGTAGGGGAGCCCCCTTTAATTTTTAATTTATACCTTTATTTTTATTATTTATTGTTATAACTGCAACAGAAACACATATTCTGTGAAAAGAACCATGCCCACTTTTCATACATTTAAAAACCTGATAGTAAAAGTTTATGTATAGTTATAAGGTATAGTAGAAAAACTTCCTGTAAGCTTAGAAAATAATGTCATATAGTCATTTTAACGATTTAAACGCTACGAAGTCCAAAAATTTTAATGTTACTCTTTAGGTTAGGAATTGCCGTTACTAAATACTTAATCTTTCTATCTCTTATTAATGTTCGTTCACCACTTCCTGTGAGAGTATACTGAGAAAAATCTTGTGTATCCCTACATATTTCTATTCTATATGATCCATGAAAAACATATCATTATACATCATGAAATGATGATGATGATATGATCCATGAAAAACACACAAAATAGCACAATACACAACGAGACGCAAACGCAATAAGTGATTATATTCTCTTTGGCAACAACGAATGACTGCGCTGATGCCAATAGAACTGTCAAATGTCAAAAAACTCCGTTTCACTTGAGCGCACTCAATGACATACTACACAATTAATTTATTTAATTATTATGTTATTTTTAATTAATCTGTACTATAGAAAGAGTAATAAAGAAATACTGATTAAATAAAACATAAAATAATGTTTAAAACTCAGAAAGAGAGTTCAATTAAGTCAGAGATTTTTGACTAACAGAGTGTAATTAAGCAGTGTGTAAAATGGAACGTCCTAGAAAAAGGATAGTTGAAATTCATTCAAAATATGGTGGTAATACGTTAACCATTGACTTAGTATAAGCTTAAATAAATATTAAAAAATATTTTTCTCCTACGTTTCTTTTAACATTGTGATAAGCGTATTTAATTTACAATTTAATTAGCTGAATTTTAAAATTTATTTCATTTCTCTACATAGTCAGGTGAAAAATGGGCATCATTCTTTGAATTCTTCTGTCTACCTACTACGGATTACGAGATACAGCCAGCTGGCAGACAGACGGACGGACAGGGGAGGCTTAGTAATAGGGTCCCGTTGGTTACCCTTCGGGTTAGGAACCCTAAAAATGAAGAATCTTTACATAGTATAAAACAAAGTCCCTTCTCGTCGTCTGTGCGCTTAGATCTTTTAAACTACGCAACGGATTTTGATGCGATTTTCATCAATAGAAAGAATGATTCAAAAGTTTATATGTATAATACATGCATATTATATATTATATCATTCTTCTGTGCGTGTGTATGTGACTGAACTCCTCCTAAGCAGCTGGACTAATTTTGATGAAATTTTGTGCGAGTGATTAAGTTAATTAGAGAATGGTTAAGATTTTGGACCCGGTAGGTGGCGTTGTTGTCGAGATTCAGAAATCAACCGTGCGAAGCCGGGTCGGATCGCTAGTAAATGAATAAATCGATAATTGAATGAGAACTAATGAATTAATAAAGAATGAATGAATTACATTTATTCTTCAATCAAAACAAACTCATATTAAAGCAGTAGTACTTACATGAAAAAAAATGTTAATATTTAAAAAAGGAAATTACAATGTCTTAAAAAGATTTCCTTCTATGGTAAATTACCTGGGTCCGTGGTCTCCCATGACCATGAGCAGCGTGTCCTCGACATTTCCGCTTCGTTGGAAGCTGCGCAGGAAGTGCACGAGATCGTCGTCAGCGGTGGAGATCATGTTGAAGTCATCGTGCGTTATGTCCGCGATGAACGTGAAGCAGAACCGTTTGCCGTCCAGCTTCAGGAACTGGGAGCAAAGCGATCACAATGAGGGCTAATGATCTTCCGTTCACCAGATGTCGCTAGTTGGGACAGAGGTGAAGTTTTTTGTTACACAATCCCATACATAGTTTTTGTTTTTAAACATTTTTTTAATTGTTTGTATGTCATTAAGATTCTAAGAGGCCAGTATTCAAATTCTAAAAAAGGTTTTATTGTAACTCAATCCGAAATACTCTATTCCCGATCATTTCAGTGTGCCCCTCGTATGAGTGTAGAGAACCGGCGATCCTTTATACTGGAAACTAAACTAAATTCTTATAAGAGAATAGATGTAGAAGCACAGCATCCATTTACCATCAGGTGGATTGTGTGCTCGTTTGTCACCCTTATCCTATAAAATAAAAATACTTATATTTGAATTTAACGTGTAGTAAGAGATTCCACTACCCCATATCGTCCCGTTGGGCGACAGAGAGAAATGAAACAATGGATGAACAATATCTTTTTCATTACAACTCAAAATAGTGAAAGACTGCGGTTGCTAACCCGTCTATCTAATGGCAATTGTTGCAAACATTCGGAAAACTATAGGGGGTTAAAGTCGGCATTTGACTTTTGATAGGCTTCTAAATTACGATTGTAGAATGGAAATACTAGCTTAATAGCAGTTTCGTACGGTGAGTGTGGAGAACCGGAGACCCCTTCTACTGGAAACGAGGCATTCCATCTTAGTCCTCACGGGTGGCAACGCATCTGCATTTTCATTCGTAATTAAGGATAGATGAAGGTATCTATGGGCCATTGCAACAACTTACCATCAGGTGGAGTGTGTGTTCGTTTGACACCCTATTCTATAAAAAAAATGTTGATTATTCGCTCGAGTACAGCCACCCAACTCATTTTTCCCCCTCAATTTCAACTTGGTGCAAGAAATCTACCGACTTTTCTTTTAAAATAACAGTTTCGTTTTAATCTCTAAAAATTTAAGAAAAAGCACACACGTCCAACACGAACCTGATCGGTTATATTTAACATGAGTTTGTACTGCGGGGTGTCGCCAACGCAGTATTTGTTGTTCGATCCCACGTTGAACCACTTCTTTCCTCTGCTAGACTCTTCTAGATAGAAGGAGCGTAAGTAATGATCGGCCGGCTGGTGACGGAACCCGTTGAAGCGGTACTGGAACGTGCCGATCCATGGCATATCCTCGAAATACGCCGTGCGGTATCTGAAAATACAGAAATAAACAAATTACACAAAACATTTTAAAATGTTTATATATGTCTTATTGGTTGCAAATACGCCGTGCGGTATCTGCACATCCGCACATCGCGGCAGAACTCCCGATACCATCCACACCATCTGGATGATTGGCGGTCCACCACTGTGCGATTTAGAAGATGTTTTCTTCCTCGCACGACTTCCTTGTGGAATCGATTATCACCAGCGATTTTTCCGGACCGATACGACTCAGGGACCTTCAAGAAAAGAGCCTACTCGTTTTTAAAAGGCCGGCAACGCATCTGCAATTCCCCTGGTGTTGCAGTTGTTCATGAGCAGCAGTAGTCACTTACCATCAGGTGAGCCACATGCTCGTTTGATCCTGAGATCAATAAAAGCCAGTCATTTCAATATTACAGACAGAAACTTCTTTTTATTTATATGTATAAATCATTGTTACAAACTGATGGTGGCCGTTGTAACGATTATGGCGCGTCTCCACCAAAGTTTTGTTGTCAACACAACATTCGCCAACACGTTTTGCCAACAAATGTTTCTGTAATCACCTAGTTTTAGCAACAAAACGAAACAATGTCGGGAATCGTGTTTCCATTTTCGGCGGCAACATCAAAGGAATACGCTTGTTGCAAACATTTGTTCCCTCGGTTGAGACGCTTCTTGGAACATTTTGAAACATTTTCGGAAACAAATGTTGTCAACTTTTGTTGATTTGTGGAGACGCGTCATTATACAGAATGTCCCAGTAATGGTGGATAATCTGGTACGTACGTGTTCGGGCGGGGGGGAGGTGGCCTCGATACCCTAAAAAAAATTCTATACCGAACGGATCGCGGTCTACGCCATGTTTTATAAAATTCCGAAAATTCGTACTTCTGCTCACATTTGTGGTCATCACGTCAGCAGTTTAATGCCTAGATCGGATTTTTTTCTTTTAATGTGTTCCCTAATAATGATGTTTCTAAATTACCCTTAAAAGTTTTCAACTACTATGGGTAGTATTTTACAAGACGGTACTAAACATAAGTTTAAATTTTTTACTTTATTTAACTGCTAAGTTTGAGCACCTGTGGTGAAAAAAACAACGTATAGGATCTGTGTGGCCAACCATTTAAAAAGTTTGCCTATATCATAAGGATTCTAAAACATTAGCATACCACGTACTTAATGTCATTACTTACTGAGCTATAACCGTTAATGTGTAAAAGTAGGCATTTCATTACAAAACTACAAAATTATTGGCAGATTTTTTTAAACATTGCATGTATTTATTAGGTAAGTATATTTGTCGCCCTTGAAAATTTTTCTTTACTACCTGCTCGCCTTGTTTGGACGAATTCTAAGTTGTGTGAGCGAGACAAACGGTGCTTAGGATTAATGTGAGTAAAAAGGATCGACAGATTCTCCATTGTATGAATTCGTGTTTGGTTATTGTTAAATATGGTTAGTGCGTATCTTGACCTTCTCGACATCGCATGTGCAGTCGAATTGAGTACCGTCTCCTTTTTGGAAATCGACAAAAAAGATTCGTCTATTTCGATGCGAGATATCGAACAACCCACTGGAGTATCGCACTCTACAGCACATCGGATTGTCAAAAAATGGAGATTTCACCCTTATCAAGTTACACGTGTGCAAACTCTTCAACAACGTGACTACCGAGAACGAGTTACTTTTTGCAGAGAAATGCTGAGGCGAATTGATGAAGATCCCGGGTTTTTTAGAAAATATTTGTGGAGCGACGAGTCAACGTGTAAAAGAGACGAATACCTTAACTTGCATAAACTGCACAGTTGGCAGCGAACAAACCGGGCAAACTAAATGGAGCCAATTATTTAGAATTTCTGCAAAATGAGCTGTCCCATTTATTAGAAGATGAGCTACTAGCCATCCGGCGAAGAATGTGGCTCCAAAATGATGGTTGTCCGGCACATTACGCCGTCCAAGTAAGGAGTTAGATTTTTTGTTGTCTCGCTCACACAGCTTAGAATTCGTCCAAACAAGGCGAGCAGGTAGTAAAGTAAAATTTTCAAGGGCGACAAATGTACTTACCTAATAAAGACATGCAATGTTTAAAAAAAACTATCTGCCAATAATTTTGTAATTTTGTAATGAAATGCCTACTTTTACACATTAACGGCTACAGCTCAGTAAGTAATGACATTAAGTACATGGTATGCTAATGTTTTAGAATCCTTATAATATAGGCAAACTTTTTAAATGGTTGGCCACACAGATCCTATACGATTTTTTCTCACCACAGGTGCTCAAACTTAGCAGTTAAATAAAGTAAAAAATTTAAACTTATGTTTAGTGCCGTCTTGTAAAATACTACCCCATAGTTGAAAACTTTTAAGAGTAATTTAGAAACATCATTATTAGGGAACACATTAAAAGAAAAAAATCCGATCTAGGCATTCAACTGCGGACACGATGACCACAAATGTGAGTAGAAGTACGAATTTTCGGAATTTTATAAAACATGGCGTAGACCGCGAACCGTTCGGGATAGAATTTTTTTTTACGGAACCGAGGATAATGTTACTTTGAACACCAACTTACCCGTCTTCTTTCAACTTATAGAAGATGAAGGGCATCGAGTCCAGGGTGCCGTTGTTCTTCATCTTCTTCCTTACATCTGGCAGCTCCAGTTCTGTCTTACCCGTGAGGATTGGGAAAAGAGCCGCTGGTGTACCGTCACCCACTATGTTATATCTGGAAATGAATATAGAATTATATTACTATAATATAGGGAAGTGAAGAATCTTCTACCCCATATCATCCCATGGGTGCTGTAAGATATATAGATAGAGATAGAGGAAATTGACTGGTGTCCGACCCCCTCTATTTTATATACAGTCCGTACGGATAATGAGTGGGATTAGAAATGGCGGCTCATCGAGGCGGCACCGTCAACATGCACATTACCAATAGCAAAAATCCGCTAATATCGGTATATCGTTATATTATTCAGTTGATTGGATTTTTGAACATATTTGATATACGCAAGTATCTATGCACATTAATTTAAAAACATAACAATAACATGTAAAATATTCAGACCGGCGCGGCGATGGGAGCAGTGTCAAAGGTTAAGGGCTCACGTTCAAAAACTTATGTCTGGGGTCCTACGATCGTAAAACCAGCCAAGCGTGAACATTAAATCAAATCCACTCTACTTATAAGCGTTTTACGTGGTAGAGCCAAGTTGCAGCTACGTTACGGTTGTAGCACGAATGGATCGGCTCGACCGGGGTAGGACCACGCTCTCACAAAATACCAGCGTGAAATAGCAGCCTAATGCTGCTGTGTTTCGGATGGTGAGTGTAGAGAACCGGAAACCAATTTTACTGGAAACGAGGCATTCCATCTTAGTCCTCAGGGGTCTGCATTTTAATTCGTAATTGAAGATAAGTGTAGATGTAGATGTTTGGAATCCCAAAGTGACTTTTTGAGGACATTATTCTCTGAAGTGATGGCTGCCATAATTTTAGCAGAGTATCATCCTCCAGACCAAATTTCGGTCACGGTGGCCAGTCACACCGAAAACTAGCCATCTGCCAGTACAGGATTATAGTGCCCAAGTGTGTGCGCAAGCACAGCTGCACTGTATTCCCTCGCTCTCATAGTGCGATGGGACGGTAAACCGACACGACCGGAGAGAGATCAGGCGCAGGACCAACGGCTTTTTACTTGCTTTCCGAGGCACGGCGGGAAACACCGCTAACTTCCTGACTCCTGACTGCTAATGAGATTTTCTTGATAGATAGAAACACCAATAAACAATGATTTTGGCTTGACCCGGGATTCTAGTATCAGTAATCGCATTTACGACCACTACACTAACGAGACAGTCAAAGAAAATATATAAAAGGAAATGGTAAAACATACCCACTTAAAACGGTAGCTCGTAGCTCGTCAAGTAGCACCCGATAGCTCTTGGGCATGCGACGGATAAAACCGTTGTGGGACGTGGAGTCGAATCCCAGTATCAACACATTGATGGTGTTTTCTCTCCTTGGCGGCGGTTTCTTCGGATGGACAGTGGAACGGAACCCAAGACTGTGACCCGTCCATTTCGATGGAAGTATACTGAAAATAAATTCTATATTATTAAGAGAGTGTAATATGGAAGTATACTGTAATGATGTTTAATACTAGCGACCGCCCCGGCTTCGCCTGGGTAAGATCTATTAATGTAGCATTTTCCTTTTATGATAAAATATCATCCGGATCACTATAGGCATTGCTCTATATATGTTTGTCAAGTTTCATTACAATCGGTTTAAAAATTCAGAAGATTATCCCGGACGGTCAGACAGACAGATAGACAAAAACTTTGATAATGATTATTCATGTCTTTGTCAATTATTTTGATTTTATAGCCTATTAAAGTCCAATGCTGATCATAGACCCCCCCCCCCTCCAAATAGACTACCTCATAGGGGGGATTTAGTCATAGTAGCCACGCTTGGCAGCGGGGTTGGCATCCACAGTTTTTATTTTTATTTTTAATTGTTACTAGCTGTTCACGGATTCGCGCGCGTGAAATTTATTACGATTTCACGGGTTTTAATTTTTTTGTTCAGAACCCTAATTATTTTAGCAGTAGCCTAAGTTACTCCTTATAACATCAGCTGTCTGCCAGTGAAAATCGATCCAGCCGTTTCGGAAATTAGCCGGAACAAACACAGACAGACAAAATTAAAAAGAATATTTTTGTTATAAATAACGTATATATACTTTCATATGCATCTAGTAAAAAGCTGTAACTTTGACATTACAAATAGACACTTCAATTTTATTTATTTAAAAAAAATATTATTGAATAAAACTATTTTTACGGATTTTATCGCGTTTAATTTACTTATTTTATATTCCCGACGTTTCGGTTGCTTTCCAGCAACCGTGGTCACGGGGGACTGAGGTGATTGACGTCCCGATGTCAAAGTTAACCCGGAGTACCTTCAGCTTTTTAATTATTAATTTTGGTCCGATCTACGCAGAATGAACTAAACTAAAATATTATTGTTATAAGTACCGTATATACTTTCATATGCATTTAGTAAAAAGCTGTAATTTTTACATTACAAACAGACACTCCAATTTTATTTATTTGTATAGTATATTAGTATATATATTTTTTAATTATAAAATCCTATAATTAATAAAATTAAATCCCAGCCCAAGCATACAACTGCAAGGCTTCAATATACTGTAAGTTCATGTTACGTAGACGGAACAAAAATTAATAATTTTTAATCTGGAGGTTGTCGTGGTTAATTATGACGTCATCGGTGCTTTAAAGTGCTCGAAACGTCGGGAATATAAAATAAATTAATGTACTCGATAGAGTCCGTAAAAACTAGTTATCATTATATAAACATTTTTTTTTAAAACAACTTTGGCATCGCTATATATTTATGAAAATGTAATGTATGTACATAAAAACATAAATAGCTTTGATAAGAATAAAGATGTTCATAGTTTAAACACTAGGAACAAACATAAGCTTGTACCACAGTATAAATAGATTGTAATATCAATTACTAGACTCCACAGAAATAGTAATTCATTTATGGGGCAATTTTGGAGCGCTTTTACAACAAAATCCCAGAAAATGTACAAAATTTGTCAATAAACAAGTTTAAATGTTTTATTAAAGAAAAAAAATGCGTGAGTGTCGTGGAACACTCGGTTGAAACGAAGTTCCTTGCGTAGTATATTATTATTGATAAAAGTAGGTATTATATTATTGATTAACAAATACAAATAAATGAATTACTAGCGTCTATTAAAATGAAGCGTCATTTGAAATAAAATTATACTTCTTTCATGGCAAGATAAGAAAAAGTGCGAAGGAGATGGATATTATTCCATCTCACTTCCTTATTTCGCTGCCAAAGCCGTCTACACTATGACACAAGGGGTAGTGACGAAAAAATCTTACACTTTTTGTCGCCTAGCTCCCATCCGCCAAACTAGTACCGTCCGATAACGAACTTCGTTCCAAAAATCATTCTATTCTATTCTATATATGATGTAAATTTTCTTTACTTTACCTGTTCACATGATTTCCAGTGCATTTCACTTTGACGTGGTCGCTCGCCGTCAGTGTGTACGCGTCCTTGCCCGCTACCACGGTATCGGGACCGATTTTGTATTCGCTATCGCTCTTGTATATTATATCGTTGTAGGTGCATTTTATATTGGTCGTTGTGTCCAATATTTTCTGTACCACTTTACATTCTGCATGCTGGAAGTCAAATAACATTTTTTTTTTTACAAAAACCCAATTTGGAATTCGAACTAAGACCTTTTTTAGTCGAGTACGACGCCTTCTATCTTAGTACTTACGGTAATCGAGGATAGATGTATATGCTATATGTCTATGGGCCAAAGCAACTACTTACCAACAGGTGGACTGTGTCCTCGTTTGTTACCCTTGTCACAATAACACGCGACGTTTAACCATGAAGTGGCGGTGGAAGAATATCCACTGCCCTATATCTTGCTGTGAGTATCAACAGAGGGAAACTGAAACAGGAGATGGGCAGCAGCATCTTCCTAATAACATCATAAAATCATAAAAAAACATGCGTGAGTGTCGTGGAACATTCGGTTGGAACGAAATCCTTTCGTTGGATATTATTATTGATAAACGTATTGTCACGAGCTTGGGGTTCGAGACAATTAAAAACTGCCGATTGAATTACCAAAATTGACACTTTAATTACACAACACTAATTACAATCTAAAATAACACTAATAATAAAACACAGTTCGCCGTTATTTCGCTTCGAAGTATTCTCTTGTATCGCCAATTCAATACTGCTCCGGTCGTGGTCTATACCGGCCTTATATAGGTAGTTTCCAGAACCTTCTACTGTAGCGACATCTAGAATGTTCGAGTACATATCGGTCCCGAAATTTCTGGAAGGATCTCGACTCTCCTAGTTCTGCTACTCGACACTAGAGGGCGCTAGTGTAACTAGTGTTGCCATGTACAAGACATTAATAATGGCGCGCAACACTTTCTTTTACTCGACACTAGAGGACGCTAGTGTAACTAGTGTTGCCATGTACAAGACATTAATAGTGGCGTGCAACAGTATTATATTATTGATTAAAAAATACAAATAAATGAATTACTAGCGTCTATTAATATTAAGCGTCATTTAAAATAATATTTCTTTCATTGCAAGATTAGAAAAAGTGCGTGGGAGATGGATATTATTCCATCTCGCTCGCACAATAGAAAGGGGGGCGTGACGGAAAAATCTTACTTTTTCTCGCCTAGCCTCCATCCGCCAAATTGGTATTGCTTAACAATTACAAATAAATGAATTACTAGCGTCATTCAAAATATTACTTCTTGAAAAAGTGCGAGGGAGATGGATATTATTCTATTTCGCTCGCACTATAGAAAGGGGATCGTGACGGAAAAATCTTACACTATTTCTCGCCTAGCCCACCCCATCCGTCAAATTCATACCATGCGATAAGGAAGTTCGTTCCACAACTTGCGGTTTCCAACCCGCCTGCCAAGCGTGACCACTATGGCAAATTTCCTCTTATGAGCTAATCTATGGAGGAGGAGGAGGATGTATGGCCCGCGACGTTGTAGCTAGTTACTGTGACCACTAGACGGTCGTCATAAATATCGCTCTAGGAGAATCCCGGCACGGCATCCATAGAAACGCTACGTACAACTAGTATATCGTATTTTTTCAGACGCCAGCGCTATTGTGGTAGGGTTTGGAACCTATATTTTCAGTAAATAGTAGGACACTTTTTCAACTTTCGCCGCTTTATAAGATGGTTCTCTTTGTACTCTACACTCCATAGTAGATACAAAGATTTTGTGTTATGGGTTTAATTTGTTTTTATTAAGATTTTTGGCTTGGATGCTTGTCCTTTCAGCCACGTCTTTTCATGTCATTTCATGCGGGATCTTTGTTTTTATAGACTTACTATTGTGGATTTAATGTATTTGTAAATAGGCAGAAAATATTTCATACTAGCTGTTCCCCGCGACTTCGCCCGCGTGTAATTTAGGTTATTACTTTTTTTTTGCGCGGAACCCTAATTCTTTTTCTAAAACAAAAGTAGCCTAAGTTACTCTTTATAACATAAGCTGTCTGCCAGTGAATGTCTCATCAAAATCGGTCCAGCCGTTTCGGAGATTAGCCGGAATAAACAGACAGACAGGCAGACAGACAGACAGACGGATGGACAGACAGACGGACGGACAGACGGACGGACGGACGGACAAACAGACAGACAAAAATTTTAAAAGTTGTGTTTTTGTTATAAGTACCATATATACTTTTATATACATTTAATGAAAATCTGTTATTTTGACGTTACAAACAGACACTCCAATTTTATTTATTTGTATAGATTCTTCAAAAACACAGTCGAGCGGCAGGGAGCATTTTTTGCGATGGGTTCACTTTCACTGTCACACACTTCACTAGCTGTTAAAAGACGTTGAAAATTAAATTGGCCGCATTCAACAAGATGTGATGAATACTGATCAAGTTACCATCGTGGGCACAAATTCGAGGACAATATGGTTAAGGTTTTAAATGCAAATAAAAAAAATAATACATACATAGCACTTCACCCAATCTTGTCCTTGACAAACTATTTTCGGCAGCTCCTTATCGAACTGTGTAACCTCTTTGGCGAACGGGTCTAATTTTGGTATTTCGCAGCCAGTTCCTTTGTCTTCTTTAAGTGCCTCTTCCAATCTTTTTTCTATGTATCTGTAAACGTAAATATAGTAATAAACGTTTAATATAAAATTATAGATACTAGTCATAGATTTAATTGTAATGAAATAATCTAGATACAGCTACAAAATGTAAAAAAGCCATGCACAAATATCAAAATAATACAAAATCAAAATACACTTACTCTATCACTGATTTTCTGTAAAAAAAAAAAGTATCATACAGTAAATACGAAAACATGCCTATATATATATAATTAAATGCCTACACTAATTATGCGGTAAAAGAAAAAAACACAGCCAAATATTTTTAATCTATTTAAGACGCGGGAACTAAGCGCGGGAAATAATTTAGGTGTCAAATCGTGTCGAAAAGAAATACTTAGACTAAAATATACTTATTAGCTACTTTAAAATTACTACATGCAAATAAAATGTAAGTGAAGGAATATAAGAATGGATGCAGAAGTGAAAACGAAATACATTCCAATCATACATATTAATGTTCATTTAAATTAGGGATGCAACCGATACCGATACCAATACAGATATAACGGCGAAGTTTTGAATCCATATTACGCCATGGGCGATATTTATACGCCGATACGTTTCGTGTTTCAAAGAAACATTTTTAAATGAGATATAAATTCTCAGTACTAATAAGGTTTAATACAATAGATGAGTATTTAATAAACAATGGACTTTTTAATAAACAATTGACAACCTCATTCTGAGTATGCCCAACTGATGTAGATGCGTTATGAATGCCATGGGTGCTTTTACTGATTATTAACTCTTAATTATTAACCGCCCTTAAAAGGTTTTTCTTTACTTTATTTTTTAGTTTAAAATTTAAACTTTCATGATATAGTTTTCACGTTTGCGTTATTTTCTCTGCATAAAAAACTGAAATCTCATATTAAGTCAGTTTGTATAAAAAAATGGTAGATTATTAAATAAAGTTTTCTTGGATATGTACATTAAGAAAATATTGACATACTCTATAGAATTGAAATGTTGTAACAATATTCCTATACCGTGTTGATGTATATATATGTACCATGTAGACATATTGTATATAGTATGTACAATATGTCTACATGATACATGAGGCCGGCAACGCATCTGCAATTCCCCTGGTGTTGCGGTTGTTCATGGGCGGCGGTAGTCACTTACCATCACGTGAGCCGCATGCTCGTTTGCCCCCTATAAAAAAAAAATGTATATGTACAATATTTGTTTTTATTGCTTGTGCTTTAAGACCTTTGTATAATTAATGATCATATAAATACTTGAAAACTTGAATTCTGTCGCATCATAGACTATTTTCCACAACCTCTCATCGACTCCACTTACGAAATCGCCTTCCCTTTTGTTAATATTAATAAGTAACTTTTGAAAATTAATCTAAGAGATTACAACCATAATTTCCTGTTCGTTACAACTATATTAATTAAATTTATTAAATATTATGTAACCCAATTTAATTTGTATCTTATTTTACCTTCTTTTAAATTCACTCAGTGTATCGGTATAAGTATCGCTGATATTTATATACACTGCCGGCCAAAAGTTTAAGACCACACTTAAACAACATAATTATCTATAAATTGTAATGAAATCCCATAATATAAATAAAAGAAATGTACACCTGCATATTCTATTGTTAATATCGAATATCTAAAGAAGTCATTCTTTTATTAACTTCCTTCTGAGTAGCATTGAAAGGAAGTTAATGGTTTTAGCTGGCAGTCTGTTAGTCTGTATGCCGACACGATAACTTCCGTTCCACTGGACCGATTGACTTTAAATTTGGTATGTGGATACCTTGAGGTAGTAGCTCGAGTTTGAATTTGGGTCCTGTAGGTCAAAGGGCACCAGAGATATGGGATTCACGCAGAAGGAAGTTGTTTTTCTTGAATTTACATTCAACTCTTTTACTTTCAAGTTATAAGACAAAACGTATACCTGTATTGTTTTCAAACACCGACAAACGCTGCTTTAGAGCCAGGTGGTAGAGTCGTAATAATAATTTTATGATGGGCTAATAACTAATTACTTTGCTTTTGTTTCCCATTGGTCAATAATTAGGATTATATAGCTTCTAAAAATGCGTGTTTCCGACTCATTATTACCTGAGTTTACATGGTTTTGTTCACAAACAATCTCAATTAGTTTAAACTTACGGTTTCTACAGTAAAGACGTCTTAAAATGAGAAAAGCACGCGAAATTAGCAGTAAAGTGCGTTCTGCCATTGTTGTTTTACATAATGAAGGCAAATCCGAACATTGAGATTGCTTTACAATTGAAGTAATCGAAGACTTGTATTCATGGCACAATAACTCGATACAAGGAGACAGGACAAGGACTTTTCAAGGTCGTCCACGCTCGGGAAGGCCGAGAGCTACCACGTCAAGTGACGATCATTTCATTGTTGTTACCAGCAAGCGAAATAGACGCTTAACAGAACCGGAAATCCGCGTTGAAGTAAACAAAACCCGAGTTAAACCTTTATCATTGACTACAGTGAAACGGCGGTTGAGAAATTCGAAATTGTATGGACGTGTCGCCGTTCGAAAACCTCTGCTAAGGACAAAACAAGAAAAAACGGATGCAATGGGCTCTTACCCATCGAGATTGACGCAGTGACTAAGAAAAGATGATGCCAGACTGTGTAGTCCCAACAATCTGGTCTGGGGTTGCTTTTCTAGTCAAGGAACTAGCGATTTGATCAAAATTGAAGGAATTATGAAAAAGAAAGAGTACAAAAAAATTTTGAGAACAAAATTCCGTTCCTTCGGGGTTGCAATTAATTGGAGATGGATTAATTTTCCAACAGGATAATAATCCTAAGCATAGCTCAAAGTTATGTAGAGTATATTTGGAAGAGAAAGAGGCACAAGGGGTGTTAAAAACATGGTTTGGCCTCCTCAGAGCCCGGATCTCAATCCCATTGAACTTTTGTGGGAAGAGCTTTATAGGAACGTCCGTAATTGTTGTCCATCCTCGCGATAAGAAATGTGGAATGCTTTGTGCGAAAGTTGGAGCAATATATCACAAGAACTATCAACAAATTGACTGCCCGCATGCCGAGAATTCAAAGGAGGATTTTTTGATGAAAAATCAGTTTAACTAACTATACCCTTTTTGTTAATTTTTCTTTACGTTTTTCAAGTATATTGATTGGCAAAAAGTGTTTTATTCGATGATTTAACAGTTTCATTAAACATTTAATATTTTATAGGAATTTTATTTAATTTTCCTACTTCAACTAAGGTGGTCTTAAACTTTTGGCCTGCAGTGTATATGGGTATCGGTTTCGGAATCGTATTATAAGCGCGTATCGTTACCTACGCTCCTAATTTAAATACTCTACCTCAAGCTTCTATATATACACATACATACATATAATAAATATATGGCGTATAATACAGATTGATTGATTGAATGGTCAAAGGTTTTCGGTTTTCTGTCAAGAAATTCTAAGTAGCATCAATTAGATATTTCATCTCTGTGCTTCGAAAAGCACGTGTAGTCCGGTTCTCGGTCGTGTCGGATTGCAGTCCCATCGGACTATGACTATGAGAGCGAATAGCGAATCCACTTTTATATGCATTTTTAATAGTGGTAGAGCCACGCGGCAGCTTTTGCTGTCGCACGGATGGTCCGGCTCAAACCGGGGTGGTACCACGACCTCACAGAATACCAGCGTGAAGTAGAGGTTTACCTCTGCGTTTCGCTTGGTGAGTGCAGGTGGCCGGAGGCCTTTTTAGTGGAAATGAGGCATTCCGTCTTAGTCCTCACAGGTGGCAACGCATCTGCATTTTGATTCGCACACGAGGATAGATGTAGATATCTATGGGCCGCAGCAACCACTTACCATCAGGTGGACTGTGTGGTCGTTTGTCACCCTTATCCTATAAAAAAATGCACCTGTGCTTGCGCATAGATACACTCGTGCACTATAATCCTGTCCTGAGCAGATGGTTCCATCCGATGGTAAGTTGCTACCATAACTCAACTGCCTCGTTGTCCTAGTGGTCGTAAACTGGATTACTGATCTGTAAATAAATTCTCAGTAACAGCTCAGAGTCAGGATGTTAGCGGCTTGTTACCCCCGTGCCTCAGAAAGCACGTAAAGCCATTGGTCCTGCGCCTGATCTCTCTCTGGTCGTGTCGGATTATCGTCCCATCGGACTTTGAGAGTGAGGGAAGGGAAGACAGTGCACCTGTGCTTGCGCATACACTTGGACACTATAATCCTGTCCTGCGCAGATGGCTAGTCTCCGTTGACACAGGCTGCAGTGTATATTATACTGTGGTACTTATCAGGACAGAGGAAAACCCCTTTTGAAACGGTTATAGATTAAAAAATATGTGTTAAGAGTGAGGGTAGACAATTAATAATAGACAATTGTCATTCATTCAGTTCTAGTGACCCGATCATTCAAGAATTGATTCGTCTTATGAACCGGGTCATTCGGGTCGATCATTTCGAGTTTCAGTGCTCTGTGATGTGTGAGACCCGCTAGATAATATTTGTCCTTGGACGTTACTATACTCTGGTCGTAGGTCCTGTCAATAGTTTAAACCGGAACGTTTAAAAAATGATATTGCAATCATCAATAATTTGATACGACTCGGGTCAAATGGACGAATCATTCACTATTGACACATGTCTGATTAATAAGCATTAAAACTCCCCCACTTGTTCACGCAGTATTAAGTACTGCGCATACAACAAAGTTTTCTCAATCAACGAATCTTAATCGTTGTCGTCATTTTGTACATCGTGATAATTCTTTTAGAAGCAATGAAGTTGATGTTGCAGCGCGGCTGCTCTACGTTACATCGTGGTAAGCGTTTTTTTTTTTTTTATATAGAATGAGGATGACAAGCGAACACAGCCCACCTGATGGTAAGTGGATGCTGTGGTCCATAGACATCTACATCTATCCTCGATTATGAATCAAAATGCAGATGCGTTGCCAGCCCTGAGGACTAAGATGGAATGCCACGTATCCAGTAAAAATGGTCTCCGGTTCGACCCTATTTTCTAATACAGGTTAACGTTTGACAAGTAACAACCTGTATACGTCCCACTGCTAGGCACAGGCCTCCACTCATTTCTGTGAGGGTGTTAAGTGAAAGCAATGACCACCGCGTTGCCCCAATGCGTGTTGGCGAACTACACACGTCTTCGAAATATTTTTTTCTTATTTTTCAGACATGCAGGCTTCCTCACGATATTTTCCTTCTCCGCCAAACACGTGGTAAATCGGCACTTAAAATTGCAATTATCAATTTCATTGATACCGGCAGGGATCGAACCCGAGTTGCTCGCGTACTTTGAAATTTACAGCGAACGCTTAGCTACCACGGCACGTTTGACAAACAAAATTTTAATTCCTTACGTCGAAAAATAAAGTTTTCATTTCATTCATAATATAATTTCATTATACAGGGTTATTTTGCAATAACCGCCCAAATTTGCAAGTAATATAGGCAAGTGGTGAAGAAAAGTTAATTAAGAAAATCTCAAACACTCTGTCCTCTTTATCTTTTAAATTCAAAATACATGGTATTTTCACTGATTTTACTGCGCACGCACACATTCGTAAGGGTCGATGGGTAGGCAAAAACGTTGTTGCCCATAAATCACATTCAATTTGGGATAACTTCAAATAAAAGCAGAAGCCTTATTTACCCGTATTTTCAAAAACTGCAACAACGGTATAACATTACTTATATATTTGAACTGTACCTGAACCCTGTACATATGAATACGTAATATCTAAGATGTTTTTAAAAGTATAGATACGACTCTTTTTTTTTAATGGGTTAGGGTGACAAACGAGCACGCAGTCCACCTGATAGTAAGTGGTTGCTGTAGCCCATAGACATGTGCATCTATCCTCGTTTGTGAATCAAAATGCAGATGCGTTCTCACCCGTGAGGACTAAGATGGAACGCCTCTTTTCCAGTAAAACGGGTCTCCGGTTCTCTACACTCACCATACGAAACAGAGCAGTGTCAAGCTGCCATTTTACGCTGGTATTCTGTGAGAGCGTGGTCCTTCCCCGGTCGAGCCGATCAATTCGTGCTACAACTATACTACTAATATAGCTGCAGCATGGCTCTACCACGTAAAAACTCGTGACATATGTTGCTCTAAAATGGCAATACGAAAGTCAGGTAATTGCCCGACTCGCATTCATTCGGGCACGCTCTCGCGTTGCGGCTATATCTTCGCTTCGGCGCTTAAATCTTGTAGTTATTCGTAGCAAACATGCCTCCCTGTGTTTTTACAAATTATACGGCAACTGTTAGAGACAAGAAAAGCGTCTCATTAATAGTTTGAATATAGATGTTTTGTTCATAATTGGTTTTATTGTTTCAACAATAACCGCTAGTGTAAACTTTGACGCTGGCTAGTGTATTCATTTTTCATATCGGTATGTCACGCGCTCGTGCCAATGAGCGCTCAATACGCAACTAATGATGTATATTCATCTTTTTCAAATGGTAGGTATGCCGTATCATTTGTCTCTTTTTCTTAGCGCAACGTGTCATAATAAATAACTGTACGTAGATATAGTACTACCTGCGCCACTTTAAAATACAATAATGTTAGTGTGTAACCTGTCTATCTTTTTTAATACGTCTTTGCGTAATATCAGTATATGTATTATTCACACAATTATTGAACGCGTTAATTATTTTATCTTATCTGAACGTTATATCCAGACGAAAAGATAAGCTGGCAATGTGATACCGTGGGGTTTTATCCAAGTGAGTAACAAAATAGTCGATAGCACAGTACCATCATAAAAATAATAATGTCAGATATTTTTATTTACGTGATAGAGCCACGCTATAACTACATCATGGTTGTAGCACGAATGGGTCGGCTCGACCGGGGTAGGACCACGCTCTCACAGAATACCAGCGTAAAATAGCCGCTCAATACTGCTGTGTTTCGTATGGTGAGTGTAGAGAACCGGAGACCCTTTTTACTGGAAACGAGGCATTCCATAGAAGTCCTTAGGACTGGCAACTCATCTGCGTTTTGATTCTTAATCGAGGATAAATGTAGATGTTTATAGGCCACAGCATCCACATACCGTCAGGTGGACTGTGTGCAGGTTTGTCACCTTATTCCTATAAAAAATATATTGGCAGGGCCAGGGGAACGCTTTCGCAAACGTCCGCGGCCCTACCAGTGCCGGCCCCTTCTGAGACTAGAGAGAGAGAGAGGACTGGTCCTCCTCCATCTCCATCTCAGGTAAGGCGCACCAGAACGTAAACTAGCCACGGTTACTAAGCCCGCCCTTCACGACAAGACGTGAACCCGTTCGAGGGGAGAGGAGAGCCGCCCTACACTTCGTTTGCCGGTACGAGGCTGCGACCACTCGAGAACCTTTCTTCCCTATCGATTTTCAGTTCGATGAGCTATATAGACGACTCATTGCCACTTCATCTTACTAATCCATTGGGCTATGTCAGTTACTCTGTTCTTTCTATGGATTATGAATTCTATCATGCAGAGGAACTACGAATATAGCTGTCTCCATAGCTCGCTGAGCGACGTCATACCGGCACCAATTAAAAACTACGTTTCTCATCAATGGCATCACGCATTGGTTGATTGTCCTCCATACCGAATTTCAGTTACGGTGACCAGTCTCATCGGAGACTACCCATATGTGCAGGACAGGATTATAGTGCACGAGTGTATGCGCGAGCACAGGTGCACTCTCTATTCACTCACTCTCGTAGTCTGAACGGACGGTAATCCGATACGACCGAAAGAGATTAGGCGCAGAATCAACGGTTCGTACTTTTTAAGGCAGTTGAGTGAAACACCGCCTACTCCCTGACAGAAAAATCTCAAAAACTGATTTTGGCCTTGCGGCGGAACGGAATGGAAGCGAATTTTTATAACGAAATTGTACACAGTAAAATGAATTTTATGTTAATTCACATACATAAGTTTTTCCCCTACCGAAAATCGCTCAACGCGACTAAAGAAGTTTTCACTTCAAAAATATATTTAAAACTAGCTGTACCCCGCGACTTCACCTGCGTTCAATTTAGAGTTTTAAATTTGAATTTTTTTGCGCGGAACCCTACTTATTTTTCTAAAATAAAAGTAGCCTAAGTTACTCCTTAAAACGTCAGCTATTTGCCAATGAAAGTCCCGTCAAAATCGGTCCAGCCATTTCGAAAATTAGCCGGAACAAATAGACAGACAGACAAAAATTTTAAAAATTATGTTTTTGTTATAAGTACTGTATACACTTTCATATGTATTTAGTAAAAAGCTGTTATTTTGATATTATAAACAGACAGTTAAATTTTATTTATTTTTATAGATGTATAGATAAACATTTAATAAAATATAGATAAGAATTTAAATGAACATTTGACGCGACTTATTCGCTCATGAACAGAATGAGAAAGCAAGATGAAAGATGATAAGTTCTAGAAACACTATTACCTGTTATTTGTGTTAGTAAGTCCTAAGTCTATACTGTCTACATTTAGGTCTTTCACAGCCCTAGGTGCATGTCTAGCATCAGCCTGCGCTACACTACTGACAGGAAGCGATTCTAAACTAAAAGAACAAAGGCGTTTAAAAGCGTTGTAAGTAGCAAAACGTGAGCGTAGCTAAAAAAGACCTTATAAAAATTGACATGGCCAACATCGGAATAACACATATAAAGGAAAAAATTAGACTTTTAGTAAAAAGTTAAAAAACTAAAAAGACTTTAAAGGACTAAAAATAATAAAATGATTTTTATAGCTAAACTAACTGTTCCCCGCGATTTAGGTTATTAATATTTTTGCGGGGAATCCTAATTATTTTTCTTAAGTAAAAGTAGCCTAAGTTACTCCTTATAACATCAGCTGTCTGCGAGTGAAAGTCCCAAGGGACCTACGAGATGTCAGTCTAACAAAACAAAACAGCCTAGAAAAACAAACTTTCCAACTGATATCTAAGAACAAAAAGTTTGTTTCATTACCTATAGTAGGTACTGTTTTCTCGCAAATGTGTTGAAAAACGTATGACACACATGCGTAAATTGGGATTATACGTCTACGAGTTTGTAAACACCAACTTTCCACATAGTATCATAAGTATTAGGAATAATTGATTATGAGCTATAGTGGCGGTAATTACAAACCGCAGACATAAAAGGAAACAATGTCAGTAATTGTGTAATTAATTCAGTAATAATAATTTAATTACAAAAATATATTTTTAAAGTTTTTTTTTATCTTTTTTATAAAAATAATTAAATTGTGATAAATATGTATGAAAATGTTATTAAAGTTATAGCCTATATACGTCCCACTGCTGAGCACAGGCCTCCTCTAATATCTGAAAGAGTTTTAGGGCAAGGAAATGTCCGCCGCGCTGCCCCAATGCGTGTTGACGAATTTCACGTCTTCGAAATATTTTTTTCATATTTCTCAGACATACAGGTTTCCTCACGATGTTTTCCTTCACCGCCGATCACGTGGTAAATCAGCACTTAAATTTGCTACAATTTCATTGGTGCCGGCGGGGATCGAACTGGGGTTGCTCGTGTACTGTGATACTAACAGCGAGCGCTAACCATCTGAGCTACCACGGCTCTCAATAAAAATGTTATAAAGGAAATAAATAATCAATAAAGATTTAATAAACAGTTTAATTATTTATTCGACGACTTTTGCGTCGGACAAACTATATTATGTAGGATTATCGTAGGTACCTACTGTTATTACCTAGATACCTACAACCTACAATACAACAAAATGTCACAAGCCGTCGCCGCATCGTGGACACTAAAATGTAAACTTTAGGTAGGTACGTCTGTACTAAGAAAACAGTATTGATGGGTCACTTGTCTGGATAAAAACATGTGTTTACATTTAGTGATATTGAAGATATATAAAAAAAAAGTAAGAAGACAGGTAAGTATTTTTGAAAACAATTTATAGGTAAGCAGAACAGAATAGGGCGGTATGTATGTGTGCATCTTGTTCGTGTAACTTCGTTTTTGTTCGAACGGTTCGAAACGCCGTACGAACAAGACGTGCGTGAAGACTAGCGTCTAACTGCTCATCACAGATACTATCTCTGTCGGGCACGATGCTAGGCGAGACAGCGTGCTTTTTGGCCGCGCCAACCAGTGAGTTCGAGCCCGCAACTTGGGCCACCTTAAGACATGAAAGGGCCGTTTAAAAAAACTTAAGTTATTAAAAGAAAAAATATATAAGAAATAGTTGGCCATGACAAACAAAATCAAAAGTCTAACTTCCTAGACATTAATACTTTTGAGCCACGCTCATTATGAGCATAGACAAAATTAAATAAAAATAACAAAACGGTAATTACATGATCAACATCTAGACATATAAAACACATGCCAAAATAAAGAAAGCACATGCGAAAATAAAGAAAGCACATGCTAAAATAAACAAAGCAAATGCGAAAATAAACAAAGCACGTGCGAAAATATACAAAGCACGTGTATGAAACACAAGGAACGTGCATATTTTGTATATTTTGAACTAAAAACTATAAGTTTAAAATAGCACACCCATAAAGATACTATTTTACGGTCCTAAAAAAAACCAAGTTAAAAACACATGCACAAATTAACTAGAGATATAGGTACCTATATCTATGTTATTTTCAACCGTATTTACAGAAAATGCTAATTATAGTCTTATTCATAAGTCTCATAAGAACGTTTCACAATTTAATAAATATAATGCTCCACTTTTAAACCCAAAGTAGCCTGAAAATTATTTAGGCAACTAATATGCCTAAATTTAATGTATAAAAATTAAAGTTTGTCTATACTAATATTATAAGAGGTTTGTCTATAGTCTATACTAATATTATAAAGAGGTAAAGTTTGTAAGCTTGTGAGTTTGTTTGTAGAAAGTAATCTCTTGAAACAATTGAACCGATTTTAAAAATTCTTTTATCAGTAGAAAGCTGAGTGACATAGGCTATATTTGATTCTGATTAATAATATTTTTTAATGAGAAATAACGTATTTTTAATCATCTCCAAAAATAAATCCTAAACACTCAGTGCTAAGAACCACACAAGATAATTTCCTCACGAGTAATTTATGTTTGACGCCCAACAAAGTGGGCACGGGTCAGCTAGTTTGTTCATATTTTTATGCGCTGCCATACCGTTCTTAAGGTTAATGTGCCTACGCGAAGGTTATAGGCATTGTACAATTAATTTACGGTCGGTGGCTCGCGCATCGTAGACGACATATTTTTTAGAAACTTATAATATATTCATTCATTCAACTTCAATGAATGTATTGTCGATTCTAAGGCCACGTTCAGACGACACGCGCCCGCTACGCACACGAGTTAGACGCGAGTGGCGTGACGGACGCCACACGCGTCTAACTCGCTTTGAAATTCGTTGCATATAATTTGAGTCTTATGACACATCAATAAATCTGAAATTGCATTTATCGACGTTCAGCCGCACACGCCTCGCACGAAAGGAACTTCGTTCCAACCGAGTGTTCCACGACACTCACGCATGTTTTGTATTTTTTATGTATTTCTTCTTCTGGGTTGTCTGGAAAAGATTGCTATGTAGCAATAAGACCGCCCATTGTATTTCCTTCAATAGTTGTTTCTTTTTTGTTATTTTTATCTTTTCTTGGTGTACAATAAAGAGTATTGTATTGTATTAAAATTATGCTATTCAAAACCAAGCTCAAAGACAGCATTTGTTTAAGCTCTGCAGCGGGTTCACACATTACGGTTTATCGAAACACGTTTTTATTATACGGTTTCCAGTTGTGTATGCAAACATAAAAGTGTAATCTCACCATACGAACAATTAAAAATTTTGTAAGACCGACTTCAATATATATTATTAAGGATAACTCAAAAACTATTGGTCAGGCTTAGATCAAATTTATATGGGACCACATGAGAAGCACCAGCTCTCAAATAAAAACGAATCATTGAAATTGGTTCACCCAAAAAAACATAAAAAAAAGAAAAGAAAAAAAGAACATACAGTCGAATTGAGTACTTGAGTACCGTCTCCTTTTTGAAGTCGGTAGAAAAAATACACAAAGACTGTGGCGCCGTGGCTAAGCGACTTATTTACTTAGAAGTATGGAGTGTAGAGAGAAGGAGGATCATCTCTATATATGAAGTGTCCCTAAAAACGTGTCCAATAAGGGTGGCGCTGCAGTAGCATAGGATAAATTAAAAAAAAAAGCGCCAAAAGTAATTAGAATAAGATGGAGAAATAAACAAGGACCGACCAATTCGCTTGGTTTTGTACTACGTAAATAGTTGAGATTTTGTATACTAGTATTTTACTAACTACTCTAGTCATGATTTTTTTTAAATATTTGAATTCAACTGACTTCACTCCGTTCACAATAGCTATCTTCATATCGTAGTTTTTCAGCCGCCAGCGCTATTGTGGTAGGTTTTGGAACCTCTATTTTCAGTAAATAGTAGGACACTTTTTCAACTTTCGCTCCTTATAAGATGGTTCTCCTTGTATTCTACACTCCATACTTAGAAGGACTCTTTAAACCATATACCATCCATAAACCACGCCTTGTAATAAGATGGATAATGTTCCCGCTTCTACAGTACTGAGAAAACCTTTTTTTTTTTTTTTTTTTTTTTTTTATAGGATAAGGGTGACAAACGAGTACACAGTCCACCTGATGGTAAGTGGATGCTGTGGCCCATAGACATCTACATCTATCTTCGATTAAGAATCAAAATGCAGATGCGTTGTCACCCATGAGGACTAAGATGGAATGCCTCGTTTCCAGTAAAAAGGGTCACCGGTTCTCTACACTCACCATACGAAACACAGCAGCGTTAAGCTACTATTTTACGCTGGTATTCTGTGAGAGCGTGGTCCTTCCCCGGTCGAGCCGACCCATTCGTGCTACAACCATAATATAGCTGCAGCATGGCTCTACCACCTACTCGCAAAACAAATTTTATTAACGCTAACGGTAAAATTTTACTACAAAACCGAATTAAATAAACCGTAATAGTGTGATCTCACTGATAATGATGTTTTCCTGGCCGAATTCCCTGTAATAACTTGTCCTTTTACGGAATAATTTAAAATTAAAAATTTTGTACAGCCGACTTCAATATAAGTTATTTAAGAATAACTTAAAAACTATTGGTCTGACCTTGATCAAATTCATATGGGACCACACGAGAAGTACCAGCTTTCAAATAAAAAAAGAATCATCGAAATCGGTTCACCCAGAAAAAAGTTCTGAGGTAACACACATAAAAAAAAAAACGAAAAAAAAAAAAAACATACAGTCGAATTGAGTACCGGCTCCTTTTTGGAAGTCGGCAGAAAAAGAATCCATTCACACATAAAACAAATTTTATACTGCACAATCGCTTTCTTTTGCGAATTATGAAGCAAACTGGATCCGGACACAGTAATGTGATGTAATACGAGTAACACAACGTCAAAATAAAATTTTAGAGCGTATCAAAAGTCCACATAGATTGCCTCATGGGGGAATATCTACATATATAAGCGAAATACCACTGGCTGACTGACTCATCACGATTTCTCTAAATCTATACACCCAAATGACTTGTAATTTAGTATAAGGTACGTGAGGGTAATATGGTCAGCAAAGCTTATGCTGCCCTATAAAACCAAGACTTGGAGGAAGACAAAGACAAAAACACAAAGTCGTATACTATAACTAATATATTAAGAAAAAAATAGTAAACAAACTTTGGCAATAATTAGGAACACTTCGAATCAACTTAAAAAAACTAACTTTTTTTTATAGGAGAGGGGGCAAACGAGCATGCGGCTCACCTGATGGTAAGTGACTACCGCCGCCCATGAACAACCGCAACACCAGGGGAATTGCAGACGCGTTGCCGGCCTTTTAAAAAGGAGTAGGCTTTTTTCTTGAAGGTCCCTAAGTCGTATCGGTCCGGAAAAATCGCGGGTGGTAAACTATTCCACAAGGAAGTTGTGCGAGGAAGAAAACATCTTCTAAATCGCACCGTGGTGGACCGCCAATCATAACACAACAATAACACTAACACTAACAATACTAAAATCGACTAAAATATCTAAAAAGACTTTGAAATTGTTAAAAGGCGTTTGTCTATCTGGGTTCAAAGTTTACTAGAGATGGAAAGCGTGAGAGTGATATCGAAAGAAGAGTTTATGCAGGAAGAACATGGTGAATGGAGCTTTGCACTCCTTTATGAGCAGTCTGAATGTGTCTAACAAGGCTCGTTTGGCTGTGCTTGTGGGGGTGTTCATTCCGACACTCATGTATGGAAGTGAAAGTTGGGTATGGCAGAAGAAACATGAAAGCAGAATATGCAGTTGAGATGAGAGTTTTAAGAAGTATGATAGGAGTTACACTGAGTGACAGGCGTCGATAAAGCAACACCCTTATGATACTTTATTATTTGATTGACTGATGAAGAGCTATTGTATCACAGAGCCGTCTATGCAAACAAGGCTGTAGTTTTTGAGTTATAAGAAAGTGATAATACTATAGTACGTGAGGGTAATATGGTCATATTACCCTCACGTACTATAGTATTTACAGGAGTCGCAGAAAGGAATAATAATACGCCTGATTGTTAGTTGTTTTCCTTACTACTTTTACAGGACGAAAAGCCCTTCAATCATTATTGCAATCGTTTAAATAATATTACACAATGGTGGTAGCTATCCCTACTACCTATCAAACTGAACCTAGCAAGAGATCGAATGTATAAGAATTATACAATCCGAATACTTTTATAATATGAAAATAAGTAAACCACTGTTATAAATATTTGTTTATGCCTAAAATTGGTCATTTTGACGCCATCCAATCGCGTTCGAGCTGGCGCGTCACCCGATGGTATGTAGGTGAGGTAAACGCCGCCAGGTAGGGCGGCCGTGTGCGGCTTGCAGTGGGCGAAGATGAGTAGCTCGCTGGCTGCGATGCGGTGAATCCGCGTATCTCGGTTATCGCGGCAGAAGTTCACGCGACCGGTAGGGTCCAGATAGTTAGATTTAGTGCGTGTTACTTCGCTACGTGGATATGTGAATTTTGCAATATTTAACTTGCTCGGGTGATGCGGAATTTCGCACGCGCGCGCCGAGTAGATATACGGTCTAGAATTCGAACCGCGCATTCCTTGTTCGAGAGCGTCTCCCGGTTGCTTGTCTGGAAATCATTATAATTTTGCCGTCGCGTTAAGTGCCCTTTTTTGTGTGTTGGCTGGTTTGTTAGTTTTACGTGTCAACGAGGCGTATTTTGAATTCTTATCGTGGCGTGGTGGTTTGGTATCGAACGAAGGAACTTAGTTGTCTTTAACGCTGAACCGTGTGACTCATGAAGAGATCGCGTTAGTTACCTATTTATAATTTTGTGATAAGTGAATCCGGGACATCGAATGTCGAACTTTGAACTATTGTCCGTACTGTGTCGGGTATCACGTGTTCGATTCTATGATGAATGTGGAATTAGGCGAGTTTAAGTTAGTTAAATGTACAATGAAGCTAATAGACTGAAATAGTGACAATGAAGAAGAAAGAAATTGACCGTGGGTGATGCCCCTGGAGATTACCATAATTTGGAGCGGTGCCAGAATCCGGGCAGCTGCCGACTTCAACGGTCCAGTCAGGTCAATCACATCCACACCACAAAAAACACCACCACACATGCACATACACACCTCCGTCCTAACCGAACCTTGAGACAGTCGTCGCCTCAGAAACAGGTACGTACTATATTTTCCTAGCATTCTCCCATATAGTTTAGTATGATAGGACAGTCTTCCATATGGCCATTGGGCCCGACCCGCGTCTGCCCGTCGAGGAAGCTGCTATGGGGCCCAGCCAAGACGATCTTTGCTGGGGCAGCTGTGGGCCGTAACAATATTATTGATAAGTCAATTAATTACAATTGCTTAATTTATTTTATTTACTTCTTATAAGCCAGTGCTTGACCACAATCCCACCTGGTGGTAAGTGGTGATGCAGCCTTAGATGGTAAATCGGCTGACGGCTCCGTGGCGCAGTGGCTTAGCAATCAGTTGTTGCGCTGGGGGCCGCGCGTTCGAATCCCGCACTGAACAAGTATTTGTATGGCCTACAAATAATTGTTCCGGGTCTGGATGTTTGTCCTTGTGCAATTTATGTTTGTAAACTGCCTCCACGACACAGGAGAAAATCCTAGTGTGGGGGTAACGTTTTTTTTAAAAAAAAACAGAAAAAAAAATCGCACTGTCTTATCGTAACAAAAGCCTATTCACTCTTGCCTTGAAGACGCTTAGATTGTATTCGGACGGAAAGATAGACGCCGGCAAATTATTCCACTCCTTTGCTGTACGCATTACAAAAGACGAAGCAAACCGTTTGGTTCTAATGTGTGGAATACGACAACAAAGGGATGAAGACCCGCCGACCGTCTGGTTGTCCGATGGTGGAAAGGAGAGGGAGGAATTAAGGCGTGTAATTCCTGCGCACACTCACCGAAATGCATCCTATAGAATACCGAGGGACTGGCTACTCTGCGCCTGTGCTCGAGGCGGACAAGATTAGTTTCAACCAAATCAAGGTCACCAATGAGCCTCTTAGCCGTCTCTCCACTGAGTCCAATGCTGCCAGGTGGCATTTTGCAGCATTAGCCCATATGTGACAGCAGTACTCATGCACGACCGGACTTGCGCTTTATATAAGGTAAGAAGCTGCCCCGGCGTGAAGTACCGCCGCACCGTTGCAAGGACACCAAGTTTCCTTACGGCTGCTTTGGCTCTGGACTCAATGAACCGCCCATAGTTTAGGTTCGGAGAAAATTCAATCCCTAACAACTGAAGGCGGTCAGTGTACTCCAAGGATACATTCCGGAAAGTAGGAGCCAAGGTGAGCGAGCTCCTTTTAGCGGTAAAAAGACACGCTTGTGTTTTGGAGGCGTTAAATCTCACGAGATTGGCATCGCCCCATTCGGAGACTGCCTGTAGTGTGAGACTCACACTACGGGCAGTCTCCGAATCTCACTGTCGTCTGCATACCTATAGACACCGGGAATGAGCAGATCATTTATATGCAGCAGGAAGAGAGTTGTGGAGAGAACGGACCCCTGAGGAACACCGGCGTTAGTCGCCACAATATTGGATGAGCAGCCATCAACGACGACCCGGAGAGACCGTTCACTCAGAAAGTCCTTCACCCAGACAATTAGGCCAGGGGATAAGCCGTACGCTGAAAGCTTACCCAATAGACTAGCGTGCCAAACCCTGTCAAAAGCCTTCGAAACATCGAGGGAAACAGCAAGTGCTTCACCACTGTTCTCGAGGGCTTCGCCCCATATGTGAGTGGCATACGCTAGAAGGTCCCCAATTGATCGATTTCGGCGAAACCCGTACTGGCGATCACTGAGGAGAATATTTTGCTCTAGGTATGCCATGAGGTGCGCTCCATAATCTTGCAGAGTATGGAGGCCGATAGTTGGCAGGGTCGGTACGGCTACCTTTTTTAGGCACAGGCTGCACATTGGCCAGCTTCCAAGATTTAGGCACTATTCCAGTCCTGAATGAGAGGCAGAACAAGCGTGTCAACACAGGAGACAACTCAGGTGCACAGACCTTTAGAACTATAGCTGGTATACCATCAGGTCTTACTAGCCTTGTTCACGTCTAGACTTCGCAAGGTTTTAAGAACCTTCTTGTTGGTGATACGGACCGCAGACATGAGGTACCGCAGTGAGGTAATTGAGATGGTACGCTGTTGCTACTGTCCAGACGCGAATTGCAAGCAAACAAGCAAAAAGAGAAGAAAATAAGTCCGCTTTCTTTTTAGGCACATGCGCCAGTGAGCCATCTGGTTTTACCAGCGGAGGCAGTGTAGACCGACAGAAGTCTGTCTCAACCGCTTTGGCGAGAGACCAAAAAGCTCTACTGCCAGATTTTTATTATATATATTTTTTTAGGTTTGACAGAGAGCTTTGTGCCGATGCGTTTAATGCGGTCGAAACTGGCTTGGCGTAATGCCTTTTTGCACGACTTGGCGGCTTGGTTAAAGGCTCTCTTCTTAAGGCTAACATGCGGAGCTTTACGGTCTCGAGCATCAAACCAAGATAAGTACGCCATATGCTTGTGCTTTTCAGCACGAGCGCACTCGGCGTTAAACCAAGGGCGAGCTTTACCACCAATGGGCAAGTCAACAAAGGGGATGAAATACTCCATCGCTTGACGTATCACATTGGTTATGGCATCCGCGCAGCTCGATGGGTCTCCAGAGGAGAAGAAGACCTGCCGCCAAGGATAAGATGCAAAGAAATGCCGCATCTCATCCCAATCTGCTGACTTGTATCGCCACATTCATAAATGAAATTACTTATATAATATTCTTTACAAATCTCTCAAATTCTAAATTAAGAATAAACGGCGAAAATTATCTATGATAATTGTTATTATGTTAATACATTGACTTATAATCTATTTTATATTTGTAATTAAAAATAATAATATAAAACAAAACGATATGTAATTACACAATTATTATTTTAATGATTCATTATAAAACAAAAATTGATAAGGGCGTGCTTCGATGGTTTGGGCACGTTGAGCGAATGAGTGAAGACCGAATGGTGAAGAAAATATATAGCGCGAAAGTAAACATTAAAAGGTGTCGAGGTAGACCGAGACGAACTTTCGAAGACCATGTGAGCAAATTGCTCAAAGAGGGGAAGGTCAAGAGTACTCGGATACCTAGACGTGCATGTATGAAGAAGATAATGAATCTGAAAGAAGCGAAAGAGGTATGTAAGGATCGTGACACTTGGCGATCCGTTCTCTCTGACTACCCCGTCAGGGATTGTGCGTGAAGATAAGTAAGAAATAAGTAATTCATAATAGGAATTATTTAACAATCACTGATAACAATAGTTACTCGTTTCGCAATGTAGACACGCTCATTAAGAACGGGCTTTACAATAGTCCCATAACAAAAATTCTTGATAATTTCTATGTACGTTATTACTTCATGGTTATTATCGTCTATTATGGTGCGCGCAGCGAAGCGAGCGGGTATCAGCTAGTTTGTTATAGTTACAACACTTGGCAGCCGCAACTTTCAGTTCTTATTGGGAAGACGTTATTGCCTATCTCCTGGCTCATGGTTTGTTTCCCACTGTCGCCTGGCCCGTATGAATATACTTCCACAGCCACTACACGGTACAATTATTTCAATTACAGTAATCTTGAACTCAAATCGAATTGGTGAAGGGACGGCGTGAGTGTGTCCACTATCCCAAATCACCCTTGGGTGTCGTTAAGAGGCAAGAAAGGGAATTTAAAAGAAGGAATAAGGCAGCAGCATGTTCGTGATATAATAAAACGAACTGTGGTTGGCAACCTGCCTGCCAATAACAACTATCAAAACTATGCCACATAAGAGGCATTCTATGGAGGAGGCCTATGTCCAGCTGTGGACTTAAAAGGCTGTAATGGGTGGATGAATTAATCTTAAATTAAGATTTGCTACTTCTACTACTTCTTATATGGTAGTGCTATGCTGCAGCTGTATTGTGGTTGCAGCACGAATGAATCGGTTCGATACACGCTCTCACAGAACACCAGCGTGAAATAGCAGATTAATGCTGCTGTTTCGTATGGTGAGTATAGAGAACCGGAGACCCTTTTTGCTGGAAACGAGGCATTCCATCTTAGTCCACAGGGGTGGATTTTGATTCTTAATTGAGGATAAATGTAGATGTCTATGAGCCACAGCATCCACTTACTATCAGGTGGACTGTGTGCTCGTTTGTCACCCTGATTCTATAAAAAAAAACAATTATCACCATCATCGTACCCCATAAACTAAGCACACAGCACACAAAGCACGGTCCTGAACCGCCTGCGTCCACCAACTCCATACTTGTTTCATCTGTTTGTCACTACGCCTTGTGGAGGGGGGGCCCTATCCTGCGCTTAGGCTGAGGCTGCACTTTTATACCTTTAACAACTTTTCTTTATAGTCGGTTATCAACTCATACGGCTCGAATTTGAATGCCGACCTAATGTCATTTCAGATACTGACTTGTAAGTTACGTCAGCTGCTTTTGTTATAATACTATGATGCAAATTGAGTGTCACCTTTGAAACAATGGGCTGTGTTTAACACAAACGTGTTTTTTCAAAGGTGACACTGTTTGTGTGGATAATTATACCTTTCAATTTCTAACTTAGTACAGTCGTCTGCATAAATATTGAGCGCTGGAAACTTGTGGTGCTTGTTTACGCAAATATTTTTAAGGGGGCTACAGGAGCTTAAAGCAAGTTTTATAATGCCTTAAAGTATGTATATGATCCACTGAACAAAATCAGAAAAATATATGCTACTTTTCAGGAAAATATATATGTTAGTTAGATTGTGTGTTCAAAACATGATACTACTAACTTGATACGATAGAAGAAAGATACCTCTAAAAATTTCTTTTAACGATTAAATCCATACTAATATACATGCAGTCATTCTAATTTGTTTGAAGTTAGATGCGGATGGTACAAGGGTCATAATAAACTTCCACTGATCTATATCGCCAAAAGATTAATTAACATTTATGTTCCTCTCACATATTAGAGACCTGTGGCCATCAGTAGGACCTATATAGGCTATGTTTGTGTATGTGTGTGTGCGTGTATGCGTGTGCGCGCGCGCGCGCGTGTGTGTGTAAAAATAAGCGGGAAGTTCCAGGAATGGACTGCAGGTTCAACCGTTTTTCAGATTATTTTACTTTTTTTATTAAAAACTTTCGATGTAGTCTAATCGACCAGGAAAACATAATTAATTAACTACCAACACATACGAAATCATCAACACATACATAAGCGCATTCCCTGAGACACAATATGCGTGTAACTCACACATACTCAGTACTCACCGTCTCGTTAAGTCCAAATTAGGCTCCCTATACAGATTATCGCCGAGCGATGTATAATAAAATATACAGAATATAATGAGTGCGATAATTATCACTTGGTACTTTCTCGAACGGTACCATATCTTGGGCATGCTAGCTGACATCTGTGGACAAAATTTTACCTTTAATAGACGTTTCTCATCTCATCGTCATCATCTCATCGTTTATACCATATAAACCTAAACTAAATCTAAACTCACAGCTTACTTTCTTTAAATGACTTTTCTAGGTAGCAACACTATCTGCCTCTAAGAAGCGATGTTCGCACAGCTGGTCTTAAGGGTGAGAGCCAGTATAATTGCAGTTGTACTGTAGCGTCCTTTGTTAGAAGTTTGCAAGTGTTTTTCAATTTTGTAAAATACCTCATATCGGAATGTCGGGTGTCAAAAATCCATCCAAATTACCTGGATCCGAAATTTACAGATTGGTGATGGGGAGTAATATTAGATACCAGTGTGATATTGGCTCTGGGCTCTCTAAACCCACCAACGAACGCAGCGTATGGGCAAATCTTCTAAGCAATATATGCTTGCCAGAGGAAGCATCCCTAGAAAAGAACTATGTCTAGCAGTAGACTAAAAAAAGCTGTTGTTGAAAAGTGACAAACGAGCACACAGTTCACTTGATAGTAAATTAATGATGTCGCCTGTAGACAACGTGGGATGGTCGGCTCGACCGGAGGAAGGACCAAGCCCTCACACAGTATACCAGCGTGAAATAGCAGCTTAATGCTGCCGTGTTTCGTACGGTGAGTGTAGAGAACCGTAGACCCATTTTACTGGAAACGAGGCATTCTATCTTAGTCCTAAGGAGAGACAACGCATCTGCAGTTTGATTCTTAAAATAAATGTAGATGTCTATGTGTCATCGCATTCACTTACCATCAGGTGGACTGTGTGCTAGCTTGTCATCCTCATTCAATAAAAAAGACAGTTATCCTTCTGTTGTCACCCCTGAGAACTAAGATATAATGCCATGCTATCAGTTAAATGGTCACCGGTTCTCGTCACTTACTATAAGGTACACAGCATCATTATGCTGTTATATCTCGATGGTATTCTGTGCATGATCCTTCCCGGCTAAACCGACCCATTCACGTTGCATCTTGGCTTTACCGTGCATAAATACTACAATATTTACCACCTTTATAGATTTGTATGAAAGCTAACGTAGAAAATAATGTCTTGACCGAATGTCACGAAAAGTTAAGGCAGCCAGTCTTAACGGAGACCATTTCCACAGCAGAGCACGAGCATGTGCGTAAACAATGGTGCACTCTCTATTCCCACATTCTCACAATCCGATGGGACGGCAATTCGACACGAACGGAAGTTCAGGCGCAGGACCAATAGAACCTAACGAGAATCACTTGTAAGAAAACCCAATAGCAGAAGCTGGGACCACATGTTTGACTGTCGCACTGTTTACGACGACTAGACCAAGGATGCAGACAATGTAGGGAATGAGGAGATATTACACCCTAATCATCAGGAAAGACAACACATATAGATTTTTTTTTATAGAATATGAGTGACAAACGCGCGCACAGTCCACCCGATGGTAAGTGGTCGCTGTGGCCCATAGACATCTACATCTATCTTCGATTACGAATCAAAATGCAAATGCGTTGTCACCCGTGAGGACTAGAATGGAATGCCTCGTTTCCAGTAAAAAAAGGGTTTCCGGTTCTCTACACTCACCATACGAAACACAGCAGCGTTAAGCTGCTATTTTACGCTAGTATTCTGTGAGAGCGTGGTCCTTTCCCGGTTGAGCCGACCCATTCATGCTACAACCATAATATAGCTGCAACATGACTCTACCACGTATATATATATATATATCTTAATTCTCTTGAGATTGGCACAAATACCAACAAATGGGATGTAAGCTCGTTTAATGTATATAAATAATAATAATAAAAAAGCCGAAACAGATAAGCAGACAAAATATCTGGACCTGGCTCACGAGGTGACCGACATGTGGGGCGGTCTACCAACGGGATTAATCCTGTGGTCGTTTCTACCAACGGACTAATCCCGGTCGGCCTGTCAGTTTATCTGATCCGACTGGGACTCCGTGACGGACCGCTCCGGGCCGGAAGGCGGTGCTCCTCGATACCGCCCGATTCGTCTGCCAGTTTCTTTCCCTTTCCCCCTAACCCTCGGCCATTTGGTCGCACCTACCGAGGGTTTCCATCTGGTTGGGTTTTTATTTATTTATGTATTTTTTATGTATATAGTTATACCACGACTGGGTCGGCTCGATCGGGGAAGGACGCTCTCAAGGAGGCTCTCACAAGAATACCAGCGTAAAATAGCAGCTTAACGCTGCTGTGTTTCGTATGGTGAGTGTGGAGAACCGGCGACCCTTTTTACTGGAAAAGAGGCATTTCATCTTAGTCCTCACGGGTCTGCCATCACAACGCTCATGACAACGCATCTGCATTTTGATTCTTTATTGAGGATAGATGTGGATGTCTATGGGTCACAGCAACCACTTACCATCAGGTGGAATATGTGCTCGTTTGCCACCCTATCCTATAAAAAAAATTCACTACTCCAAATCATCCCGTGGATGTCGTAAAAGGCGACAGAAGGACAACATCACACAGACAAACCGAGAGTTGGGCAACAGCATCTCTCTAATAATGACTAAAAATAAAAAACTGCGGTTGCCAATCCACGTGCCTAGCGTAGAAACAATAGCAAATATCCATCTTACGAGGCAATCTATGGGGGAAGCCTATGTTCAGCAGTGGACTTTTAATAGGCTGTAATGGTGTATATTGAGGTAATTTCTCCCTACCACAGAAGGGAACCAAGTACAGTAGTGGATTTTAAGGCCCGGATTAATAAACGTTACTCAACAACGAACTCAAGTGCGTAATCACTGGATACGCCCTCATTACTATATCAGCATCTCAACGTAATTGCTAATTAATAAACACATAAAAACAATATCTCAAAACGCTGTACTTAGGAATACTGTTCTGAAACTTGCACTCAAGTACACACACTTGAGAGTCGCGTTTCGTTTATTAATCAGTGTGGCACTCAGCTGATATCGTAAACCTAAACCGCATCTTGAGATATGTTTATTAATCAGATCATAACCTCAAGATCGTACTCAAGTGCGTGTACTCGAGCTAAGTAACGTTTATTAATACGGGCCTAAGAGATATATTTTGTTTTAGATATTTTTTTATTTGATTGAGATAAAAATTGTTAAGTGCAATTTAGAGAACTGATTTGCTATAATATGCTTGATAATAAAGGATAGCATAGTGTGATAACCTGTATATCTACTAATTTTTCAGATATTTTTTTATGTGGTAGCGCTATGCTGCAGCTATAAAAATAGTATAGTTGTAGCACAAATGGGTCGGCTCGACAGGGGAAGGACCACGCTCTCACAGAATACCAGCGTAAAATAGCAGCTTAATGCTGCTGTGTTTCGTATGGTGAGTGTAGAGAACCGGAGACCCATTTTACTGGAAAAGAGGCATTCGATCTTAGTCCTCACGGCTGAGAACGCATCCGCATTTTAATTTGCAAACGAAGATAGATGTAGATGTCTATGGGCCACAGCAACCACTTACCATCAGGTGGACTGTGTGCTCGTTTGTCACCCTTATTCCATAAGAAAAATGATGACGCTAAGTTTACAGTTATTCACAAAAATATAAACAACAAATGATATCAAGCACCCCACGCTTTTTTACAATACATTAGTAATTTTTTTTATGTTAATCACTATTTTCTTATTTTAAACTTATTGAAAATTATTTTCCACTTTTTAGTTTGGTTATCTACAAAAGCGTGGTTTTACAGTTTTTCTTTAACTATTATTTTCTTTCTATTTTTTAGTGCTACAAAAGCGTGGTTTTTTTTGCAACGAAGTTCTTTTACGCGGCTTACAGTATAGAACTGGCAGAAATCGTAGTTGTTTTATGAATTATTCGCAAATCCTGAGGATCGTGGCAAGGATAATGGGACAAACTATTTAAATTATTGCATTGTCATCGGTCCTTGATAAGTGTGCGAAGTTTCAAGTCAATCCGACGTTTTGAAGGGAATGAAAATCACCTTCCAAAATTCCATTACATAGATACGTACCAAGCTAATAAAAGCGTGATAAAAAAAAAAAATATTTCGAGATGTGGAGTTCACCAATATGCAACGGCAAAGCTCAGTGGACAAATTGATTTGTAACCCTCTCAAAATGAGATGAGCGTCTCGCAGTAGGATATTTGAAGGCTGTAACTTAACTCATATAAACAGCAAAATATTTTTCATTTGCACATAAAATGTTTTTATACTCCATAAAAAGGAAACATTAATTATATTTTTAGTAACACTTTAAAATTACACATTATATTTTTATCGCACTTTCAACCCAACTCAATCATTATTTATGTTTATGGAACTCTTATCAGAAATTAAGTTATAACTACACATTGCAAAAAATGCAACTGTGCTTTTTATTATAATAGTACTACCATTCTAAAAACAATAAAAACAACTGTGCTATGTTTGGTGTCTTTTAGTGCAGAAGTTGTAATTGTTTATTATTATAATGCACCCTATCTGTTAAACCTTCTCGCATCATCATCATCAAGTCCACTGCTGAGCATAGGCCTCCCCAAAGGAATGCCACAAACCACGGTCCTGAGCCACCTGAATTCATCGACTGCCTACATTACTTTACTAACTCATTATTCCACTTAGCGGGGAGCCGCCCTAAACTACGCATACAAATACGAGGCTGCCACTCGAGGACATTTCTTCACCACCAGTTTTTGGTATTGCGAGCTATATTGCCAGACCATTGAAACTTCAGCTTACTGCTTCGTTGGGCTATATCAGTTACTCTAGTTCTACTGCGAATATCCTCTACGTCTATCATGCAGAGAACAACCGATCACAGGCCAGCAGTAAAGGATCACATCTCAGAACCATATATCATCACTGGCAACATGCACTGTTGTACAATCGAAAGTTTTTAGGTATACATGACAAGAAAATGTGTCAGAGTATCTCGAACGCTGCCCAGCTGATTTGGATCCGCTGATTGACCTCTAGGCCGAAGTACTCGCTAACAACCCCGAGGATAGTGCTCCTAATAACTACTGGCATAGTGTGAACATGAACATTACAAATGACCTTTGTTTTGCCCATGGTCGTTTTAAGAACTACCTGTTAGGAGACACTATTATGGTCTTTGAGCATAGTACCGAGGTCCTTCAGCATATCATCGCAGTATATAGTCGGCAAATCAATGCACCAGCCTGTAGACATGGACGTTACAAATGACCTTTGTTTTGTCCATGATCGTTTTGAGATCTACCTGCAACGAGGCACTATTGTAGTCATTGAGCATAGTGCCGAGGCACCCCAGCATATCATCATAGTATGTAGTCGGCAAATCGATGTTAACCTTGTTATCCTTTTCAGTCCAATAGCTAAAAAGGTATTCCAATACAGTGGTAAAGAGTTTCGGGGATATAACATTAGCCTGTCTATACTTGGATTAGGTACATACTCTGGTTTTGAGCTCGGATAGCCATAGAAGAGCTACTGTACAAACACTTCAGTACTACAATATACCGAAAGTCAACTGGCACCACTAAAGGGACTCTAGTACCCCCAAATTTCGACGGCACCAATTTAGTACCAAAAATACTGTATTTTTAGTCCCAATTCAACTGTGGCACTTTTGCACAAGTAAGTTTTACAGAAATATTTTTTCAGTCATGAATGTTAAATGGGAAGGACCATGCTCTTACAGAATACCAGCGTAAAATAGCAGCTTAACACTGCTGTTTCATATGGTGAGTGTAGAGAACCAGAGACGCTTTTTACTGGAAAAGGGGCATTCCATCTTAGTCTACACAGGTGACAACGCATATGCATTTAGATTCGCAAACGAGGATAAATGTAGATGTCTATGGGCCACAGCAACCACTTACCATCAGGTGGACTGTGTGCTCCTTTGTCACCCTTATCCTATAAAAAAAATGTCATAATTGGCTAGGAAATATCAGAAAATTTTTAAGGTTTCCTATAGATGTGATATCACAATCTTGATATGCAAGACTTAAAATACCCGGAACAGCAACAGACAGTAGTATCAAAGGTGACAGAAGTCTGGGTCATTGATCATCATTTCGTGCCTGCGTTTGCTATGATTGAGGCAAATCCTCCCTAGAACGTAGGACAAGTCAAGTAGTAGACTTTAAGAGCCAATAAAGATAAGTATTAAATGAACGCAGCAGAAAATTCCATGCCAATTGGACTTCCATATTGATGTTATTATTTGAAAATTAGTTATTTAAAAATAATGATATCCTTATACCTTTTACACCTCTATAAAACCACAACAACACTTTAAAACAGTGATATGCAAAAAACGCACTATTTTACTGTGTAACGCCCCTCTGATTATTCGAGTGTATATTTATCATTAAATGGTTGACAAGTAAAGTTCGAAATTAATATTCTAGATCATTAAATACACATAGAGACACTTACATGATTTAGTTATTTTTAAAAACGGCACGATACAGTTGCAAAATAAAAATTCGCCAAAGCCCTCGTTTAATCGATTGAAATTCGAATAGATTTATTTTATGTGCGGCAGAAACGCAGTTTTGAGCGTTTACAAGCTAATACTCATTGTTAAAAATTCTTTAACTTTAATGAAATAAAATAACACTACGCTGTTCCAAAGCACTGTACTCTTTACAATTTATAATAAATAAAAATAAATATTGGACAACGCAACGAACATGAACAAGACGTCACCACACTGATTACAAACTGATCGGGGGGGTACACCGTACAGTTCCATAGTAATGCATTTGGTCATAGAAAGTAACGCCATCAAGTGTATGATACAGGTCATATTTTCCTCAGTTTGATTAGTTTAATACTCACTAGATGGCTTTAATATCTTTGTCACCTGTCCATTAAAATTATTTTTACTTATCTTATAAATTATAAACTATATATTTTGTAATATGTATGCATAAAAGTTGTTTAATCCATAATTTATAAAGTACATATAAATTATACGTTCCGATTATATTTATGTTCGATTGAAATGATTAGTCTGTACTACAATCTCTGTAGCCGAAAATATAAATGTATCTGTATTCTGTATGTGCTGTTGCGAAAAAAATAACCTAAATTAGGTAGGTATTATACATATTTTTATGAAATTAAAAAAGAAAAAGTTTCAAAGTTAATTTTTCATCAATTAGATATTATTTTAAACGGAAATGTTTCAAACCATTTTCAAAGTGAATCGAGTTTGTTTTGTTTAACTTTTCTAATTTCTAAGCCAAATTCAAAAGTTTGATGTCGATTTAGTTAATTTCGTATTTCGTAGAATAATTACTTAAGTGTGGTGTTACTAGCCAGTGAATATTTAGTTTATGGTGATATATTAGAGTCGTTTTACTTAATGAAAATGTTTTATGAATAATAATGGGTTGCTGAAAACGGTGTGTTCTAAGATGCTTCCATAATCTTCTAAAATTGAGTGCCCAAGTTTATTTCTGTGTATCTAATAACTGTTAATAATATATTTAAATATCTATGAAAATAATTGTTTTATTTCTGTTTGGTCAAATTAACCGCGTGCCATTCCAATTTTCTACTTATGTTTGAATGCATAGCTAATTGTTAACTTTAATCTTACTCTTAAGCTTTGCGTTATTAAATTTTTATAAATTCTAATATTATATTCATTTATTACTATTTCCATTTCAACTTTTTAAAATAACATTCTACATTCGTAGAAAATTGGAATGGCAATAGTAATATAAGTTTAAGTTTAAAATATCGTCGTTGATATTGCAATACGTTCTATGTCAAAATTTTATGATATTTTGTTTTTCTGCAAAATTACTTAACATTTTAATTGTGAACGCATACGTAAAATGTTCTATGTCAACAGCCAATCCGATCACCGGATTCGAAACTGATGCAATAGGTCACGTGACAAAAACACTTTAATTTGATATTGCAATACGTTCTATGTCGGATCTTGAACGGCAACTGTTTTTCTTATTGTGAAAAATTTGTTATTATTTTGTTTCTATGAAAAATAATTGGTAAGTTCTTTTTGTATAACTTATACTCATTCTAACAAATTGTATTTTAATAGATAACCGTAATTTTACCAGTTTTGCCTTCTATAAATAATAACTAACCTACAGTTCTTGAACGTGTTCTATAAAATTTTATCTTAACCTCAAACTTATTTATGTAATTTACATCTGGAATGCGTAACTAACATTTGTCCTAAACTTGTGAATAAGAGTATTTTATTTTTTACTTTGTGTAACGTTCTTTTGAAATAAAATATATCATGAAATATGTTTTATGTCGTATCACTCATAAAAATATGGGGACATAGGCCATATTGCATTTTGATTGAAATTATATTTCATTTGTTTTTGGGTGAATTTGGGTGGCTGTTGCTTAATTTGGGTGGCTTATGCTTAATTTGTCCTTTTGACAGGTATAATATTGTATCGTCATGCATCGGCTGACAAGAGGAAAAAGGTTAGTCGACATGGTAACCACAGCAACTTCCATAAACGAAGTAGCAGTACTGGACGAAAAAACGGGAGAGTTTCTACAGGAACCTGTTTGCCTTAACTCTAGGGAACCAAGCGATGTAACCGATGATGAGACTTTTTGTGGGTTTTCCGATGTAGAGTCTGTCATCCCTTCGGATCCTGAGTTCGTGGCAGATGAAGACACTATTATTACCGATTCTTCCGAAGTGGAAGAAATTTTGAATGAACGATGCGGCACATTGACCCGCAAACGAAAGAGCAATAATAGAAAAAAGGAAAGAATGAGCAAAGGTAAAGCTGAAAAATCAGAATGGAAGAGAATAAAAAATTCTGAAGCTAGACTTAAGGGAGAGCAGTATGTCGGTTTTCAAAAGGACCAGGATGGCAAATATCAGCAAACTCTTGTACGTCCAGCTAAAGGCTTGCAAGAAGCCTGTAATGGTCACTCCAAAATACAGCATGGAGGCCCGCGACAGCAATATGAGTGTGAGAAATTGTCTGAAAACAACCGGCAGTCAATGTTCGACAAATTTTGGAACGTACAATCATGGGATGCACGAAAAGTTTATGTTAGAAATTTAGTTGGCGTTAGTACCCCCCAATACCGTCGTAGTTTTTCTAACAACGAAAGCAGCAGGAAAGGAACGTCTTTTAAGTATTTTTTAATGCTGCGATCAGACAATAATGTTCAAAGAATACATGTCTGCAAGGTGATGTTTATGAGAACTTTGTCTATCGGCTCAAGACAGCTTCGAAACTGGCTTACAGAAAATTTACTGAAGAATACTGAGCCTGTGCTTGCTCCAATTCAACCACAAATTCGAAATGATGAATCCGAAGAGACCAACAGTATTGTTGAATTCTTTGATAAATTGCCGAAAGTAGAATCACATTATTGTAGATCTTCGACCAAAAAACTATATTTAGAACCTGTTTGGAACACCATAACAGGTGATTTGTACGCGGAATATCTGAAATTTTGTTCCACTCATAGCAAGAAAAAATATTGCTCTGCATCTTTTTCAAGGAAGTTCCATGAGTTGAATTTTTTCATTTATAAACCCAGAAAAGATCAATGTAATACATGTATTGCATTTAGAAACGGAAATGTAGCTGCGGACGAGTATGCTAATCATTTGCAGAAAAAAGAAAGATCAAGAAAAGAGAAAAGTAAAGATAAAGAAAATACTGGAGCTGATACAGCTGTTTATACAATGGACATGCAAGCTGTGTTGTTATGCCCAAGAATGCAAGCATCAGCTACTTACTACAAAACAAAACTAAAAGTTCATAACTATACAATTTACAATTTAATAACAAAAGAGGTATTTTTCTATTTATGGCATGAAGGCAATGGAGGTCTAGATAGCAATAAGTTTGCTTCAATTTTAATCAAACACCTAAGATCGGAACTAGAAAGGTCGAATGTAAACAAAATTATTTTATGGAGAGATGGATGTTGTTACCAGAATAGATCAGTTAAATTAGCGAACGCGCTACTTGAATTGGCAATTGAAAAGAACGTGACCATTGAACAGAAATACCTGGAAGTTGGCCATACTCAAATGGAAGTAGATTCAGTCCATAGTGCAATCGAAAGAAAGCTACCCGCACATCGCGAAATTTATATTCCAGCCGATTACATTACAATCATGAAAAGTGCTAGGAAAGATCCATATAATGTGGTGTTTCTAAACTACGACGACTTCTGGAAATACGATGGAGGCAAATATTCAAGTATAAGACCAGGGAATAAGAAAGGTGATCCAGTAGTTACCGACATTTGCAATCTACTATACTTGCCAGAAGGCAAAATTAAGTACAAACTTAATTTCGAAGATGACTATGAGTATTTACCAAAAAGACCATCAAATAACGTTATTACTCCAACTGCTTTGTACAGTTCTCACTTGCCCATTGAGTTGACAAAGTTCATTCATTTACAAGAAATGAAACCACTTATACCAAGTGATTATCATGCATTTTATGATTTGCTGGAGCATAATTGTTCCCATACTTTCTCATCAGACTGCCCACATATTAAAAAAATAAAGTAAATTATATTAAGTATATTATAAGTAATAGTTATGACTATGTGATTTGTAGGATAATTAAGTATAAATAAGTTTTTTCTGCTTCAATCGACGTTTGATTTTCCTTTCATGACTTACAACCTTTTAAAATATTGGGGAGAAGTTTTCAAAACAGACATTTTAAACGTTTTGATTCTAGTAGATTTTTTTTATTTTGACTGAAAATTTTTCGGATAACCAGTATATATTTGTTACAAAAAAGTCGTATGTCGTTACTGAAATATAATTATTACACTAAAACAAAAATGCAATATGTTCTATGTCACTGAATCTCTGATATGAAGTATTAATATTACTATTTTATTGTCTAATATGATGAAAAATATCTTTATTGAAAATGTAGTTTAAAAATATAATCGCTATAAGTAATCGTTATGACACTAAAACGTTTTATGTTTCTCCTGAAAAATCAACTTAATCTGACATAGAACGTATTGCAATATCAACGACGATATATAAAATAATGAATGTGAGGGTAGGCATTGCAGCATTGTACATATACACACGCACACATTCACAGAGTGCTCTCGTGTGAGTGAATTGGTATATACACACACACACATGTAAATATTATAGTTGGCGTAACAATCATCAGGTGGCGCTGTTTCCAAGGAGCACCAGTTTTACTTGCAAGAGGGCTCTCATAGATAAATATATATGTTATATGTAGCAAGTTAATTGATAGGCTATTTAGGCTTGGAAAAAAATATCGATATATCGACATATCGATATTTTTAATAAAAATATATCGTATCCAATTCGTATCAATTTCGATATATGATTTTCGATAAATGATGTATTAAGGCGCAGGTTGAGCAAAATGTCGCGCTAGTCGTTATTTTTGCGGTTTTCAGAAGCTATCTACTTTTTATTTAAAAGATATATCAACAAATAAAAAACACATTATATTTCTACATAATCTTGATTCCATAAAAGCTATATCCAATTTTTTTTTAAACTAATAAATATTAATATAATCTCCTTACAACGAAACCACATAAATGTGAAATTATTATTGATAACATGGATCTCCTCGTAAAGTAAGTATTATTTTATTTTGCGATTTACACCAATGGATAGACAATTTATTAATAAACATTTCTATAGTAAATTTTTTTTCAAAAGACCAAAATTTGATTTTATTAAGAAATTATTTTAAAATCTGGGCATATTCACTGCTCATGGGCTTACTGGAGTCATTGAGCCCTGAGCTCTTCGACGCGAAGCCCGTGTCGTTAGAGCGTCGACCAGCGCCGCATACACTCACGTAATATCAGTCGATAAATAATATTACTTATTAGGTTATTTATAGGTAGTATTATTTGTTTGTTTTGGGTATAATTTTTCGTATTAGTTATACATATATTTGTTGTGTTTTTTACTGCGCGATGAAGCTTTTTGCGTGTATTTTCTTTGAAGTAAATGCAAATAAAAAAAATGAAGCACCATTGGCATGTAAGGTTCGAATCCATAATTAAAATTTCGATAAATATTATAATTTACACTATAAAAGGCTAATTCAATATTATCACCCAACCACAATATCTTATTATGTACAGTACTACCTCGTTGGTCTAGTGGTTGTAGTAGTGCGACTGCTGATCATTAGGTCCCGGGATCGAATCCTGGGTCGGGCCCTGTCAGTTATGAGTTTTTCATTTATGTTCTAAGTTATAATTAGTATTACTAAGTTATAGTTTTTTGCTAAAATATAGTATATTATTTATTGCTTGTTTTTTCTTCTTTTCAAAAAATAATTGAGTACATAAGGTGTTCTATACTTATACTTCGGTAAAAAGTATCTAAGTAGGTACTAATATACCTACTTTTTACTACTAAAAATTTTTAAAACTAAATTTAACTAAAAAGACTAAACTGACCATTTATTTTTTAACTCAAAACAGGACATGGGTTTATTTTTACTCTAAAAACTATAACTTTATACAATTAGTGTTCACTGTAAAATTATATTCGGTATAGACGGTAATTATTAAATGCAACATATTTTTCTTAATTATTAATTACATTTGTCAGTGGATTAAATTTTCTTTAATAAAGTTAGTGATGATTTTAAATAAAAATAAAATTCTGCTCAAGGTTTTTTATTGTTATCTTTGTTAACAACATCGCCTTTAGAACTCTAGAACCGTAAGTGTTTCTTTCAGACGTCCACAATTTATTCAAAATAAAAAAAAAATACTCTTTCTACCGGAGCATTCGTACCAGGTAGACATAAAATATATTCGATTAAAAAAAATTATGTTGAAGATTGTTGACTTTGAATACTTCCATCCAACGAGTTACGGGACAATTTTGTGTCCCGGAGCTTTGTTTGGGGACAATGGGACAGGTGACCGAGAAAAGGGACAGTCCCGTTCAAAACGGGACGTGTGGTCACTTTAGCTATAACGGAGCTTTGTTTGGGGACAATGGGACAGGTGACCGAGAAAAGGGACAGTCCCGTTCAAAACGGGACGTGTGGTCACTTTAGCTATAACCCGGCGACGGCTCCGTGGGGCAGTGGCTTAGCAATTAGTTGTTGCGCTGGGGGCCGCGGGTTCGAATCCCGCACGGAACAAGTATTTGTATGGCTTACAAATAATTGTTCCGGGTCTGGATGTTTGTCCTTGTGCAATTTATGTTTGTAAACTGCCTCCACGACACAGGAGAAAATCCTAGTGTGGGGGTAACGTTTTTTTACAATTGAAATTGAAAGATTGAACCCTTATACTTCTTGTTGATTTTTGTATTAGTAGTTAGGTATATTACTTTTCAATACGTGACACGTAAAAATTAACAATAATCAAAAACACATCTACGAAACATCCTATTTATTTATTTATTATATATTGCACCAAATATTTGTACAAAAAGCGAGCTATCTATTTATTTACCTATAGTGAATAGGTATCTTTTAAACTCATAATTTTCAATGCTTAATTTTTAATATATAATTAATTATAAAATTTCATAATTAGATAATATATGAAAATACATAATTCTAATATAATGCAACTAATATACCGAATAAAAAAATTAAAATACATTTATCGTTGTACGCTGTGTGCAAAGATATTTTATGACCTATAAAACATCTTTGGCTGCGTGTATTTCCATAAATTAGTTCATTGATGTTGAAAAAATAATACTACGTTCGTACCTACAATAGGTGGTGGCGTCGTACATATTTCAAATAAGCAATATATTGAGGCGAGCGGCGTGCCGCCGGCAAAATGCTCAAGGTCGTTCGCATGGAGTAGCCCCTTAATGATAAAACATGTAACAAAAAAAGTAGGTACAAAAGTACTCATGTGTGGTTGGTTGTCATTTTTAACGTTTTCGTCGTCCAACCGTCAGTAATATAAAATTTTGGACTTTTTCCTTACATCATGCAAATGATGCCGATATATCTGTTACGGCCTACAGCTGCTCCCATAAAGGTTCAATCCTCCGGGGCCTATCAGCGGAGTTTCAACGACAGACGTAGGTCGGGCCTCAATATGGCCGCGTAGAAAGTCTCTAATTACAATAAACAATAAGGGGGAGCGTTCTATACTACTGCCATTCAACAGGGAGAATATTAAGCCGAGCTTACTTACCTATATCCACGGCGACTGGTCCCTCAGGATTCGGTCAGGTCGCATGTGGTTGTGTGGTGCAGGGGAAATAAGGTGCTGTGATGTGTATCTGAGTGTGACTGGTGGTGATTGACCTTATTAGACCTTTGCCGTCGGTAGCAGCCCGGACGTCAGCACCGCTCCAAATTGAGGTAATCTTCCGCGGCGCCGTCCATAGTCACTTTCTTCGTTCGTCACGATGACAGTCCATTAACTCTATCGTACGATTAACTAACTTACAGAAGCCACTAACTCTCGTTTGTTATAAAGCTTAACACACAAAACGAACACGGAGTGTCCGGGTCAAAGGTCACTACCGTTTCGCGTGGCAACAGTTATTTCTAGAATATCAAATGCCGCACTAGCAAATTTTTTGTCGAATGCACTTATACAGATTCTGAGTCAAACACAATGAGTCCCGGGTGAAGCTCTCAAGCAAGGAATGCGCGTTACAAATCCCAGACAATATATTTACTAGACGCGCCTAAATGCTTCCGAGTTCCCGACAAAAATGACAGCGTGCTGTCCCAAGCACAGCTGGCAGACGACTCCTATTTGCCCTTGCACGTTCTCAACACCCACCGCTCGACCGACGTCAAAACCGGTATCGAGCCGAGCCGAGTGCCATCTGGCGTCGATTCTTGACATTAGCGCTTGGAGCGAACAATATCAATATTTATCACGCGATATATATTAAGGCCCCAGGCGAGGATGGAATTACAGAGGAGCTTCTGAAAGCGGGTGGAAGACCGGTACTTGAAGTCCTTCAGAAGCTCTTTAATTCCGTCCTCCATGGTGGCATTACACCGGAGGCGTGGAGCAGAAGTGCGGTGGTCTTGTTCTTCAAGAAAGGTGACAACGCTCTCTTGAAGAACTACAGACCGATTTCCCTTCTGAGCCGCGTCTACGTGCTGTTTTCGAGAGTCATTACGAATCGTCTCGCGCGCAGACTTGACGACTTCCAGCCTCCCGAACAAGCCGGTTTCCGAAAGGGCTTTAGCACCATAGACCACATACATACCCTTCGGCAAATTGTACAGAAGTCCGAAGAGTACAATTTGCCACTATGTCTGGCGTATGTGGACTATGAGAAAGCCTTTGATTCCGTCGAAATTTGGGCGGTGCTGCAGTCCCTTCAGCGGTGCCAAGTTGACTGTCGGTATATCGAAGTGTTGAAGTGCTTGTACAGTAGGGCTACGATGGCTATCCGAGTACAGAACCAGAGTACGAAACCTATTCAATTGCAGAGAGGTGTAAGACAGGGTGACGTCATATCCCCGAAACTCTTCACCGCTGCATTGGAAGACGTTTTCAAGCTTCTGGACTGGAAAGGATACGGTATCAACATCAATGGCGAGTACATCACTCACCTTCGATTTGCCGACGATATAGTCCTTATGGCAGA